CTGAGTCTTGTGAGCTGCTGATGCTTTTTGGAACTTTTTGGTGGGAAAATGGGGAATCCTCCAAAAACCATCTGGCACCATCTGTTTCTGGGAGGAATCGGGGAGGAAAGGTTGGACACATTCCAATCATCTCTCAATGCTCCATCGAGCTGATCGACGCCAGGGTGTACCCTGCGGAGCACTTTACTTCGGTGCCCAAATATGGATTGCAGCTCGTTTGCATGGCAGTTTGAGCTAGAGCAAGATTTGCCGCAGCATAAAGTACTGTACCACCTACTCCAGGCTTAGAGGACGGATGTTTAAAGGGTGGACCTCACCATTTGGATGTGCGGGCCTGCTCATGAGGGCTGCAGTAGATTAAACCATCCACAAGACAGCAAGAAAAGAGAATGCTCCATGCCAGCGTGCCAAGACAGTGAAGCTGAAACCAACCCTTCAGTTGTGGATTGCTTGGACAGGTCCATTTTGGTGACCAAGGACAAGGGGCTTCAAGAATATCTTGGGGAGGTACGACTGTGCGTCGGCTTGTTACTGTTGTCCCAGACACATGTGGAAGGTGGCTGTGCCTTTTTCTGCTGAGCAAAGAGGAAGAACACAGCGGAACTCCAGCGACATGCAACAGTCAACAGTCAACAGCCATCATCATCATCATCATCGTCGTCATCATCATCATCATCATCACCATCATCATCACTATCACCATCACCATCACCATCACCACCAGCATCATAAAAATCATCATCATCAACATCATCATCATCAACATCATCATTATCACCATCATTATCATCATCACCATCATCATCATCATCACCATCATCATCATCATCATCCATCATCCATCATCCATCATCCATCATCCATCATTCGCCATCGACATCGTTATCGTCATCATCATCATCATCATCACCATCACCATCAACATCAGCATCATCAAAATCATCATCATCAACATCATCATCATCATCATCATCTTCATCATCATCATCATCATCACCATCATCATCCATCATTCATCACCGTCATCGTCATCGTCATCATCATCATCATAATCATCATCATCATCATTTCGTCATCGTCATCCTCATCGCCATCGCCATCGTCATCGTCATCATCATCATCATCATCATCATCATCATCATCATTTCGTCATCGTCATCGTCATCGCCATCGCCATCGTCATCGCCCTTATCATCATCACCGTCAACGTCATCATCATCTCGTCATCGTCATCGTCATCATCATCAGCATCATCACCATCATCTCGTCATCGTCATCGTCATCGTCATCATCATCATCATCATCATCATAATCGTCATCACCATCATCTCGTCATTGTCATCGTCATCGTCATCGTCATCGTCATCATCTTCATCTTCTTCATCATCCTCACCATCATCTCGTCATCGTCATCGTCATCGTCATCATCATCATCATCGTCATCAACAATCGCCATCAGCAACTATATCACCAAGTAAAAAATATAAATATAAATATAAATATACATTGGAATATATACATATACATATACATATATATATATATCAGTAGCAGTCCTGGAAGTCCTGGCTGCAGTCGCTGCGGTCAGGTCTTGCGGCAGCTCAAAGGCTGGATGATGTGCAGCCAGGCGACGGCCCGAGAAGTTGGCGAGTAGCTGGAGAGTTGTGGCTGACGACGCGCGGTGATGAAAACCATTATATGAAGACATATGGAAACCTGGATTTTGATTTCCAACTATGATATGAATCGATTTTAGATTGATATCAAAATGATGTAAAATGATATCAACATGATGAACATTTTTTTGTTTCCATATTTTACCTGGTACAAGATGATATAAATTGATGTATAATGCCTAATGACTAGCTGGAATTGTGGAGGAATCCCCAGACGAATCCCTAAGCCTAGTCCTGAGGTGAGAAAACTGGTGGTGGTCGTGGCTTCGCAGGCAAGAACTGAGAGGATCTGAGAGGTGATACACCACACATACGGCGTATATTAAGTTACTATAACACACGATATCTGCAACATATATATATATATCTATTTATAATGACCCATAAAATGAAAAAACACATGGATTGTAACATGATATTGTACCAAGACACTGCAACGTTCCATCCATGGTTAAGAAACAACAGCGACTGGACCATAGCACCGCCAGCCGTTGTGTTTCTTAGGTCACGGAAGAGACGCTTGAGAGATGGACCTTCGACGTCCAGGTGATTCGGTGGGTACCGGTGGGTACCGGTGGGTACCATGGAGGATGATAAGATGGCCCCATTGGTTGGTGGATATTTGTGGATAAGATGGCCATTGATTATCATCCTTTAATTGCCAATGATGGCGCTATAACTTAATAACCAATTGAGTTTATGAAGCCCAACATGGCAATGATTGGACGGTTGATGGTTGAAGACTTGAAAATTCACTTTTCATGTTCGATCCTATTTGGGATGGTTGTCCCCAATTTCTCTTGGAATACCAATAATTCATTTGGGATGGGAACCCTAAGTTGACGAATATTGCCAACCAGGGATCAACAAAAACATTCGATGGTAATCCTCATGTTCTTTGCCCGATGATTATTTAGGATGAATGAACAACAGCCAGTGCTTTAGGACGATCAAATTATTTGATGGTTTCGAAGTTGAATTTTCTGCTCGTTTGCGTCTTGTATATAACTGTTGGTTTGTGTTGTTTGCAAAGACCTCTGAAGGGCCAGATGGACTTGTGTGAGAGAACCAAGGCCCTGGTTCTCGTGACTGAGAAACAGCATTGTGAACATTGCTTCCACGCTGTCAGGTGAATGACACCCAAGCTGCACTGGCTGTGCCACAGACGCAGGCAGTGATCCAGTACTTGGCTTGACCTGCTGCTTAGTAGCTGAAATAAGCCCACTAGCCTTGCTAGCAAGACTGATCGGGCGAAACTCTCTGCAAGTTTTTTTCAAGTCGGATCCAAGGTCGTTTTGTGTATCCAGACATTATACTAATAGTATCTTAATATCCATTACTGGTTTATCTCGACCCAAGGTCGTTTTGTTGCATTGGTGGTCTTGGGATCAGATGCACTGGTTCCATCTGGTTCCCAGGTCCCTGTGATTCATGCTGAGTTTCTTTCCGGCAAAAAAAGAGGGCATATATGGGATATTATGGCATATGGTTGTGTCCGTAAAATGCGGATACCCATCAAATTGTTTTTTAATGCGGAAAATGATAATTATATAAGAAGCATCACATTTTGGGGCACCTTATTTTCAGACAATCCCATATGTGTTGATCATCCTAAATATATATATATATACACAGTAGATGGAATGAATCAGCCCTACTTGCTGCGCGCCACTCTTGGACTTTGATTTCATGAACTACCACTCGATTCACAAAGGACGCACCATCAAATCTAGAACACAGATTCTATATACTTGTACGTGGTGAAAAAGACTTGACCAGGTATACGGTCACTACCATAAACCGATATAAACGGATATGGAGATTTCCTAAGTCATGCCGGTACCCCTTAAATCATCCAGTCGTCATTGGACCATAACTTCCTATTGAAACCCACGGTGACTTGGAGATAATGTTCTCTTGGGCCGCTTGGCGCGAGGCTGACAAGGTTCGGGAGCAGAAGGAGATTCAGGCAGAATTGACCAAAATTCAAGGGTTTTTTGGTGTTCAAAAGCGCATATCATGAATATCCATACCATTGATTTTCCTGCTGGCTGAAGTACTGTTGACCATTCTGGTTGATCTTGGGAGTTCTCAAATTTTGAACACACCCAAGAATTTGGCCGATTTTCCTGTGCAAGTATGTTCAGGAAGGTGTTCCCGCATGTCTTCGATTATAAATGGACACTTGAGGAATCCTGACTCCCTGTCCAGCCACGCTCATGCTACAGCATTTCCTGCATTTTGTGGCTCAAAGATCACGCGACAATGTCTGGCAGCTGTCATGGGATCTGGGGCATGGTCAAGATGCATTCCCAGCAAATGATCAGTGCATCAAGATGTTTCAAGAGACCAAGAGTGGCTGTGTGTACTGGAACAATCCGGGTGAGCCGAAATCCTGCCCAAACGTTGACAGCATGTGTGGACACCCAGATGCAGCGAATTCTGACAGGTTGATTGGATCATTGAATCATTGGGTCTTCCTGACAGTGACAAAAAACATATTACTTCTCAAGAGGTATGGCCGGTTTTTTGGTGTCCGACGTGTTTTTCTTTTTTGGTTTTTCACATGCACAAACCCACTAGATCCCATTAGTTGCTTTCTCTGAAATAGACTGCATGTGGTGGCTTTTTGGGGGGTCTACAGTGCACCAAGGGATGGTGATAAAACACCCACAGGGTTATTGTGCTGAGATTTTGTCGCTTCATACTCCGGTGAATCTTTCATTGGCTATATCCACACCGCTTGTTGATTAGATCCCATTGTGGTATCCCAGATGGTTGTTTCATTTCTATTTGGGTCAGTTGAAACACTGAAACACCATCTCTGTTGGTGAATTGGTACAGTACCCCATTTGGTCGGCTTAGCGACTAAACCTCCTTTCGGTGATAGGTCACAGCCTGTTATCACCAACATGGGGGATGCACATCCATTTTAATATCATGTACCAGCTATCTTTAGGGTGATAAGCAGGGTACCAGGGGTTTTGACTCATTGAATGATTTGAGAAGATGTGAGAAGTGGGTTGATGGTAAACTGACTCAATGGTAAGCATGGGAATTTCAATCATTGACTCATCAAATGGTGGCTTTCGTTGATTGGTGCTGACTTTTCCCCGCAACATGGTGGGCCAAAAGGAAACACCAAGGCCTCGACCTACGCGACTTGCCGCTCTGGGTTCCAAGGGGGAGCCCGGAGGCAACGAAGGGGTCGACATTTCAATGGAAAAAGACACTGATTTTGTGGGAAACTCTTCATAGCAGCTCGTTTTTTCGATGGTAGAAACTTGTAGAATTGGATTTGTCCGCAAATGGTCCTTCCATCGTCCATCGTCTTCTTTGTGGATCTTGGTGGTTTGAGAAGCTTCTAGAGCGAACTTGAACACAGCCAACTGTCCTTCAGCGCCGTGCTGAACCTGACTCCAAGTGAAGGACGTGGCCAGAGCCAGGAAGTGCTCAAGACCTTTCTGAAAAGAAACGCCCAAGGGCCCAAGGGATTTGATGCTTTGCGATGCTTTGCAACAATCTTCTGCACATGGCACATGGATGACCCGGTGATCTCGGCAGGATCCGGCCAGCCCGGCGCTTGATGTCGAGGTGTTGGATGCACCGAGGTGAGTGGGTTTGGTCTCCTATAGGAAATTTTAATGACGTTTGGAAGAAATCCACCATCACCAACTCAAAAAAGATGCAAATTCCAACAAAAAAACAAGCTACGAAGATATTTAGCAGATTTTGCATAGGTTTGGAACTCTCGAATTCGCTTCGATTGCCCAATTTCGGTACCCAATTTCGGTACGGTCGTGTTGTGCCACCGAAGTTATTGGAAATCGTTTGCTCAGATGCAAGATGCCAAGGGGCCTTGTGGTCCGAACCTCGGACGGGGAGCCGGGTGCTGGGTGCAGTTCCAAGACCTTCCTGCGGATTCTACTGGATATTACCGGATAGAGTAATTGAATGTATAATGGATGTATAACGGATGTTTAATGGATGTATTATATATGTATATGTGAAATTGACATACAGTCATCCCGCTGTGTCACCTCTGATCTACCGAGGCGCCTTGGGCCCGAGAAAACATCCGGTGCATCTGCACTGTGTTTACCCCGTAAACTCTCTTAGTGGTAGAAGGTCCAGAGGCCTACCTGCCAATGTCTTGCACAACCAGAATGTTGTTCCTCGACGCTCAGATCGTCCCCCTCGGTGTGGGTCAAGCTCGCCAATGGCCAGATCGAGCACATTGACACCATCACAGGACCTTTGACCACTCCAATGGAGAGCTTTGGCCACTCCAATGTCCAGGCATTGACTCCTCGTCGATTGACCATGATGGAGTGGGCCACAGTTGGTGGTGTTGCTGGTCTTACGCCACGTCGCTACATCGTCGATGATTGCTGGGACACATGGACACCATCAGACCCAGCAGAATATGCCTGGCATGGTCATGTGCTTTTCTTTGAAGACCCGGTGCAACATGTTCCAGATGGTCCCATGTTTGTGCCCACAGGCCTTTTGCCTGGTCAGTCAGAAGATCATCCTGACTTGGCCTATTACCTCAACGTTTGGGCAACCTGCCCTAGCCCTTTGAGCGGTTACGAGAGTGCTCATTCTGCAGTTTTTTCGGGGGAGTGGAAGTGTTTTTGGATGTTGACGATTTGTCATCTTTGCCATCATCAGCAGCTTTTGATGTCGCTGTGCAACGGCCTCCAGGACACAGCCCTCTCCAGCTGCAGAGCGAGCAGCCTACCTTGTGTCCGGCCGCCCAAGCTATCCTACCCAGTATTTTGACTTGAACGACAATGACTGTGATGAATGTTTGGAGTTTCAGAATGAGCAGGTTTTCAACAACAACTCACTTTCCAAAAAGGTGTTTCAAGTTTTGTCAAAGCTGAAATGTAGCAGTAGGAGAGCCAAAACCTCAAATGAGATTGACTGGATGGAATCGTCTGACGAAGTCATGGTTCCGAGCAGTGCCACAACCTCCTCATCGGCCGCGAGCTGTGACATGCTCAAGAAGCCCTTTTTGCAGCAAGTGAGATCATTCCTGAGCTCCATCTATGGCGTCTCTTCGCACCCGCATTGGTCGCGCTGTGCAGATTTCCTCCGAGGACGAGTCGCCTTCCAGCTCCAAGCCCAAGATGACAGAGTTGCAACGCACGGCAGCCTGGAAGCGCGTGACCTTGGCGCTGCTCCTGATGCTGGAAACTACCGGCAAGCAGGTTGTCATGGACTACATCGCCAAGAAGAGCATGGAGCTGAAGGACAACGACGAGATGCCGAAGGAGCGCAACACCAAGGAGAAGAAACAGAACAAGAATGCCGGCAAGACGGTCATCATCCAGGGCATCGGGAAGCCGCTGCCTCGGTCCTCCGCACAGAAGACTTGGCATATGGATCCGAAGCAATGCAACCATCCAGCCGAGTACATGAGATGCCGGGCCAACCGGTACGAAAAATGGTGGATTTGCCTGGAGTGTGGAAGCCGTTGGCAACGCACGACCGAACCTTCGGGAGCTTCATCTTCAACGAGTGCAGTCCCCGAGTACAAGAATGCCCAACGGGTGGTGGAAGAGAAGACCGGCAGGAGCTATCCAGAGTTTCTTCTAGCGCCGAGATCTCGCCCGCAGCAGGGCAACATGCAGTTGCAGAACGATGTGAAGGGCCAGATCAACCAAGGAGATTCCTGCGGACGAGGAGGCCAAGATGGTGAAGATCAAGCAGGAGAATGTGGAGGAGGATCAGCCGACAAGCCGCGGCCGCAAGACCAAACAGGTCAAGTCAGGCCTTCGCCCAGTTCAAAGATGCAAGACACCGACATCGCACACTATGATGGACGAAGCTCAGGAGAAGGTGGCTTCGGATGGTTCGTGGGAGGAAGACATTCCCATGACGGTGCCGGTGGTAAACATCAACAGCGATTGAAGACTGGAGCGGTGCTGCTGGCTGATCATCAACTTGGAGAACACCAGCAGCAGGTGAGAAGGTCCTTGCGAAGACAAGGTATTTCCTCAATTACTAATGGTCCTTTTGACCGTTGGTTTGCAAGCCTTTTTGCATGATCCTGTACAAGATTTACAGTGGCTCTCAATGGAAGCCTACAAGGTTGACTTCGCTGAAGAGTCAGCCCGTGCCGTTTCACAACAACCTGTGGCACTCTATGCTTTGCCTGGAGCCAATGAGGCGGTTTCACAGTCAGCAGCTGATTTGAGTGGAAACACGAAACAACTGCCAAGACGTGCGAGAAGAACCATACTAGCCTACTACAAAAAGAACTTCTCAGGCCAGTCCATTGACAAAGCAGGACAACAGCAAAGTGACGTGGACCTCATGGAGATTTATTCTCCGCCCCGAGTGACGGCCCGAGCACGTGGCTTTGGCTTGAAGCATGGTGGTGCACTCGACTTGGCAACAGGTTGGGATTTTACTTTGGCCAGCCACAGAGATGCAGCACTTCGGTTGGTCAGAGAGCTCAAGCCGCCCTGATAATCCTGAGCCCGCCATGCCGAACTTTTTCCAGTTTGCGCTACCTGAGCGACCACAAACGTAGCCGAGATGTTGTGGAGCGTGAGCAAAAGGAAGGCTTGGAACATCTCAGGAGAGCCCCTGGCGGAGCTCATGGAGTTCGAGGGAGTTTTTCAAGTCAAGTTGGATATGTGTGTTTTTGGATTGGTCACCAAAGACCAGATGCCAGCCCTCAAGCCCATATGCTACTCACCAACATAGAGACTCTTGCTATCCACTTAGGTCGTCGATGTGAAGGACGACATCCTCAGCATCAACCTCTGATAGGTGGCCGAGCAGCTGCTGCGGCGATCTACACCGACCAGTTCGTGGACAGCATCCTGCGGGCTTTGCGGCAGCATCTTCAACTTCGACCAGAAGGACACCCTCCACAGGACTATTGGTCATTCAATGGGACTCAATTGGTTCGCCATCATGTTCACCCTAGAATGGCACTTTTCAACCCTTTTCATGTGACCAATGTTCCAGTTGATGTTTCCGTTTTGGGCGATCAGCGTCACACCACCACCAATGCCAAACAGCAGATGGTAGACAACTGGCGAGACAGTGGAGTTGTCAGTCCATGGCCTCAGCATTGGACTGGCACTACAACCTTCTCCATTGCGGACCACATGGTTCTGCCGAACAACGTGGCGCAGTTAGCACATTGGTGTGCTGCCTCTGGTGCTCATGCTTTGTTTTCCTTTGTTCGCAATGAGACAGAGTTTATTGCGGAATGGGAGCAACTTCAACATGATTTTCCTGACCCTGCAGAATTTCATCACTTTCCAGCGCGCAAGATTTTGGGGGGCGGTGAACGTCCTGCTGATGGAGTTGTGGACAGCGTTTTCGACGACCCAGATGAGGACGTCGGTGGTTTTTCGGCGCCTGTGCAAGATGCTTGGATTTCATCAGCAGCAGCTTCTTCTTGCACTTCCTCTCAAAGTTCTTCGGCGCCCTTGCAGAGCCCTATACAAGATGGTGCAGTGGCTCCGAGATTAAGGAGAGCTTTGAAAATGCCTACCATCCAAGAAGCCAAGGGTGAGGACGCGTTGGAAGACGAGTTGGATATGGAGATAGAAAGAGCTGGACGCGAAGTTCGTGGGCCCGGAGCATCCGCCAAGACTGCAGGGCAGATTGAGGAGCAGACGCTTCATCCAGAACTTCGACGTGAGATCTACCGGGACCGGCTTCATCGCAACCTGGGACACCCAGACCATGAAAGGTTTCTTCGTGCTCTACGACATGCAGGAGTACGACCTGAAGTGATACGATGGACGTAGATGTGCTTCAAGTGTCCATTGTGCGAAAGCCGGAAGAGACCCAACTCTCAACGACCATCTCACTTGGTGAAGAGCCTCAACTTTAATGAAGTCGTGGGAGTGGACCTCTTCTTTGTGAGGAGCCAGCCCTTGCTGAATGTCTTGTGTTGGGGTACTGACTTGATGCACGTCGAGATCTTGCCCATGCGTTCCGAGGTGGTATTCGAGGCGCTCCAACGTGGATGGATAGCCCATTATGGGCCTCCGCGTCTCATCATATGTGATCAAGGCCGCGAATTCCTTGGATTGGAGAACCCTTTGCCTCCAAAGTCAACCAGCTTGGCATCCTTCTGCACTTCACGGACATGAGATCACCTTGGCAAAACGCCAGGACTGAGCGTGCAGGTGGAGCCTTCAAAAGCAAGCTGGAAACAGTCCTCCATGAAACCTCTGCAGAAAGTGAACTGGAATTTGCTTTAGCTGTTTCCGAGACCCAGATTGCTAGGAATCGCTACATGAATCGTGCGGGATTCAGCCCATTTCAACGAGTCTTCGGCACGACACCTCGGCTCCCAGCATCCATGTTAGCGGATGACTACTTGGATCGCGATTTGGTGCTTTCCAGTGGTGGTGATGAAGTTCGACGAGCTTGGGAGATTCGAGATGCAGCAGCTTCAGCTTGGATGAAATCCCAAGATTCCGAAGCGGTGCGACGAGCTTTGAGGACTACAACCAGAACAACAGACCTGAAGAAGCTTGAACCTGGTGATGTTGTTTATGTTTGGCGCAATGTGCCAGACTGCCATGGTTGGACAGGCCCTGGAGTGGTAGTTGCAGCTTCTGAGAATGGAAGATCACTTTGGGTCAGCAAGAGGGGATATCTCATAAAAGCTAGCCGAGAGCAAACCCGAGCAGCAACTTCGGAAGAGAGCTTGGGCGCTGAATTGGTCCAAGAACTTTCCAAAGCTATGCTACAGGACTTGGAGTCTGGCAACGTCTCTCACTTCCGAGACATTGAAGGTGAAGGTGGACCTGATGATGGCACAGCTGCACAACCTCTCGAAGGGGAACCACCACCTCCTCTACCAGAAGTTCCAGCAGAAGATGAGGATGTGGAAATGCAGCAACCCTCACTAGCCAGAAACACCAGCTCAAGTTCCTGTTCCTTTTGAGGCAGACGACCTGGCGATGGATGTGGACATACCAATGCCTCAACCTCCAGATGCTCAACATGCTCAAAGCGAAGCTTCGACCCAAGCTCCATCAGTTGCACAAGAGCCAGAAAATTCCTGCTACAACTCCCACTATGACACCAAAAGAACCACTGCAACTCCCGCTACGAGTAGAAGACCGAGCGGCATTCGAGTCGATGAAGGGCCTGGAGGTCGACTGACATCTACGTTTGGGCCTATATGCGCGAACAACGAGGTCAACCGACGATGCCATATCCTTTTTCAGGACCAGCACCTCCAGCATGGCCTTCACCATCGACAAGCTCGAATTTCTACAACATACTTCCGGACGATGACACCAAGAAAGTGTTCTGGAAGTACATCAAGTCCCGAAAGGATTCCATGCCTATACCTCTTGACGAGACCACCTATGAGCTCAAGGATGCATGTGGCATGATAAACTATAAGGACGCCAAGATGTACGTCACCAAGGCCAAGATGAGCCCTGGACAGATCACTTTTAAAGAACTTCCCCCAGAGCAAGTTCCTTCCTTCCGAAAGGCCAAGGAGATCAAGAGTTTGCTGGATTCTGGTGCAGTTCGCATCTTATCCGTCGAAGAGAGCCTTCGCTTCCTCAAGGAGAATCCAGACTGTGTCTTGGAAAGTCGCTTTGTAGACCGTCGGAAGCCGACGGATGCTTTCGGTGCGCTTCCCAACGACTTCTACGACAAGAACTTCCAGCCACAGGAACACCAAGGATTGTCGGCAAAGTCGCGGTGGTGTGTCATCGGATGGCGTGACCCGATGATTCATGAGATTGAAAGATCCGCGCCGACTCCGTTGACATCATCAATGTATCTCTTTCTCCAAATGTGTTCTTCTCGGAGATGGACCGCCATGTCGAGAGACGCGAAGACAGCGTTTCTTCAGTCCAGACCGACGACAAGGCGCAGGAAATTGGCGTGTCGCATGCCCAAGGACGAGACCTTCCCTGGATATGATGTGCGACAACTGATTCTCCTGCTTACAGAAGTGTACGGCTTGGTGAATGGACCAGCTTGGTGGAGACGCAGCTTTCTGCAACTATGTGTCACAGAACTGAAGTACCGAGTCAACGTCTACGACCGGTGTGTGCTCACCCTGGATGGACCTGAAGACCCTCAAGGTGGAGCTGTGCCAACTCGTGGCATCATGGTCATCGAAGTTGACGACATCCTCGAGGCTGGTGATGAAGTTCATCGACAGAAAATGCAATGGTTGGAGAACAAGCTTCGCTTTGGCAAAGTGGAAATCCTCCAAACCAATGTGGAAGGTTCTGGATATGGTGGAAGGCGATTGAAACAGAACCCAGACTTTTCCTTCGAGTACCACATGACGGACTACATCAATAACCGCCTCAAGCCTATTCAGTTCGAGCGCAAGTTCTACAAGAAGGACGCGGCGAGTGAGAAACTCAACCAGGAGGAAGAACAGCAACTCCGAGGCATCATAGTAGCTATAAACTGGGTTGCTCGAGAAGGACGACCTGACGCCTCTGCTTCAGCTAGCATCCTCTCTGGCATCTTCCCCAACGCAACGTTGCAGGACGCCTTGGAGATTAACAACGTCGTTAAGCACCTCAAGGAGAACCCGGTCATCCTGCGCATTCATCCAATTCCGGAGAAGGACATCCGCCATGTTGTCATTTCTGACGCAAGTTTCACTGGGAAGGTGAAACCTCAACACGGATGGCTGCAAGGGATTTCTACTCCAAAGTTGAATGCTGGCCAAATTGCCCCCTTCAGCATCATCAGTTGGAGATCAAGAAGACTGAGCCTTTCAACTGCCCTTGGTGCTCTTGAGAAACAGGTGGCAGTGTTCGAAAGCTTCAAAGTCTCAAGGTTCAACCCTCAGACTATGGTAAGTGGCAGCTTCGAGTCTCAGATGGGATTGCGTGGTCCTCCTACCGTCATTGCATCAGAAGACTTTTTGGATCCTCAGGCCATTGCACTAGTGGACGCCAAAGCCTTGTTCGACGGTGCCAACAACGAACAAGCACAAGGTGAAGACGGTCGCAGTGCGCTTGAAATAGCTGTGATTCAGGAGTCTATGGCCAAACTGATGGGACGAATGCGGTGGATACCACACAACAGAAACCCCTCCGATGCGCTCACAAAGTTGCTGTCCAAAAGCCACCTTGCTCCTCTCTTGGATCTTCTTCGTACCAATATGCTGCAAATTGAAGAAGAAGAACAAGTACTGAATCGAGAGAAGCAGAGCGAGTGCAGACAACGTGCACGGGCATAAGTCGGCATAAGTGTCAAAAAGGACACAGCGATTCAATTGTCAAACGACAATTGCAAGATTTTGGGGGACTGTGAAACTGACATACAGTCATCCCGCTGTGTCACCCCTGATCTACCGAGGCGCCTTGGGCCCGAGAAAACATCCGGTGCATCTGCACTGTGTTTACCCTGTAAACTCTCTCTCTTATATTACGTATATGTATATATATATATATATACATACTGTAATATAATTGGATGTAACTGGAATCAATGATGGGACTCCCTATGAACCAACCAGTCGAAGCAATTTGCCACCAGGTTTCTGACGATGCTCAAATGGCCAAGGTTACCAAAATGGCGGCGAATTTTTGGAGGGAACATGTGTGATAGATTCACAAACATGGGATTTTAAGTGTACCCGATATAGCCATTTTTGTTGACAAAGCCATAGCAGGCATCAGAATCGGAATAGGCATCGAATATGACCGGTCGTTCCGGTCCAGGCCACAGCCATGCAGATGGCAGCATCAACTTTCGGCAAACCAGGTGCCATGCGCAGCGACCGATGCGCTTGGGTTCGACTGCCAGTCAATCCTTGGACCTACCGGCATGTGACCAATTTATCCTAATTTGCTGTATCTAATTTGTACATAAATATACAGTACGTATAATATATCTTTAAGTATTTATGTATCGATGTATACTTCACGCACACATCTATCTACATGTAATTATATTATATATACATATTATGCAACTGACATGTGCTCCTTTAGTAAGTGCTACCCAATCTCATGCTTGCACACTTTAGCGCCAGTTCTAGGGCGCTCTTACACTGCAAAGTTGCAGCCCGATTTTCGTGCCTGGTGCCCAAGTGGGGTTTGCAAACCATTTTTGGTAGCAATGCCAATCATGGTCATGTGCTCTTTGAAGAGCAACTAACGAAGCATTGTTGAGCAGCCAGCGTTCAGATGCCTCATGTTGTTTGGAGTGATGATGGTGATGGTCACCTGATGGTCATTAAACATATTGAAATCCTTAAAGCCAACTCAGTTGACACTCCACAGCCTGCATTGTGCTGGCGTGTCCCAGGATGATACTGTGATGATCTCGGATGCTGGTCAGTGATCCCAGTGATCCCAGTGGGAAAACTGGGAAAACTGTGACGGCCGTTGGGCCGTTGGGCTATGAGATGAGCATTTTGAAATTCATCATGTCATTTGATGTCATTTGATGTCATTTGTCATTGATTTAAGATGATGATTGTGTACTGATTGTACTGTTTATTGTGTACTCCAACATCGATCCTGGCTGATTTTGGGCTATGACAATTCTTTGGGTACAGAATCGGTATCGCGGTATCGCCAGAATCGGAACCTCCAGCATCAACTCCAAGACGTTCTGGCCAGGAGTGTTGGAGATGGTTGGTGGTTTCAAACATGTTTTTCCACCTGGGAGGATGATCTCAATGGATAGACCTCATCAGTTTGGGTATGTTTGGGTCATTTTGCAGAAAAACATTGGACAGATCTGTAGACTCTGGTCCTTTCAGAATTGGGGCAATGGGGGGACATATTTTTTTTTTCAGTATCCCATATGCCACATCATATTATCATGTTGGTTGCATCATCCCATCCCATTTCTACAAAGGTCCTGTAATGTGGCCGACCCAATGCCATAAACCTACCATGACTGGGGATGGTTCAAATCCCACCGAGATGGTGTATGACTTGGGGATGCTGTATGACATTGGGGTCTAGCCAGTTTAGCACAGACAAGAGCCCTACACAGCGCCACAGCGCTACCCATCGTGTCCTCCTCGCAGGAGTCGTTGTTTGCGAGCCCACTGATGGAGCAAGCGGAGAGGCGATTTTGGGACGCCGGAAGCCATCGGAAGCCAGTGCCGACTTGACTTGATGGGGACCCCCCAAATGTGCCAGCTGTGATCAACTTAAGTCCAAGAAACTCAGTGCATGGTCATTAATGTCATGTAAGTCATATAAATGTCATATAAATGGCATTAGCTGAAATTCTCAACTTTAGGAGTTACTTGCTGTTCACATTCTATCGAGAACTTGTCCTTCGTGCTTGAAATTCAAGGGCGAGCCCTCTGCCATTGTCGCCGTTGTCAGATTCTTGTGGCTGCTGAGCTGCAGATGGTGAGGGGATCCAACCATTTGAGTGTTTCCTAACCAAAACTGGGTACCCCCAAACATCATCTAATACTGGTTATTTTCGGGCACCAAGCCTTTCTGCAGGGCATCCGCAGTTTCCATTTGCTGGCTAGGTTTCTAGCCAAGATGGTTACAGCTTAGGAAAAGAGGGGAGTAGCACCTAGAATTGACAAAATTAAGCAAATAACCGATACAAACAGAAAGGAAAACTGGGAAAAGAGTTAGCAAACGATGAGATGTGAAGCAGGCATTTGGGGATATCACCAATCAAAAGAGGTTCAAAACAACAAAAAATGCGAGGCTATAGAGAAACTGATAGACCTTCATATCAGCAATATTTTCAACAGCAAAGGCACTGCTTGATGGTTACTAATTCCTTTGATGATTGAAATCGTAAGCACATACAAGTGCCAGCGATCTGCCAGTACTTTTGCAATTTCGGCATTGCTTGAGTTTCGGCCAAACCACATTACGTGCCAAAATCATGCCCAAATGAAGCCAAATAGTCTTCCAAAAGTTTGGCATAAGAAGCTTCACAGTCATCTAAAACGCAGGAAAGATGTGGAAATTCGAATTGCTCAGAGCAGTTGAGGTGAGCACCAGTGGGAAGAGGACACAGCTGTGGATTATACATCGGCACAAGCGGAGCAACTGGATGTCCTGTTGGCGAAACGGTGGCTTTCCGTCCTGGTCCAGGACTTCACCCTCCATTTTAGGGAGTACTTTCCACTTCTGAGCTTGGACCCGAAAGACCCGGTTGACTGGCTGGCAGTTTTGGACTGTGTGATGGGTATCCATAGGTATCCAGTGGTACTGTATCCTCCACTAGCAAACATTTCAGAACCATGTCAGAATTGCAGCCAGCATTTTTACCATTCATGGAACTTGCAGCTTGTTGAAGCACACCTCTAGTTCAACATGCCAACATCAAGCAACTGCCAAGGCCAACAAGAAGAAGCCCTGCTGCGTCAGCCAGCAAGTGAAGATACCCGTCCCATCGAGGTGGGTGAAACTGACAGAGACATCCACAAAATGATGATGGTTTTGCAAGCGAAACAGCCCATAGGGGGATTTCAGATTTGAGACTTGCAAAACATTGCCCAACTTCAGTGGTTTCGGTCTTGAGGGCACCTTACTTTTGTCAGCGTTCTTTCTTTTGAAACATTGAGTAATTCATCGAAACGAGTGAACAGAATGAATTGCATTCTGCTGAAACTGAAATCCAAAAGTTTAAAAATCCAGGCTCATCTGCCAGGTCCCGACATGGTTTGTTTGGCGCTTCTTGGGGTCCCTTGCCGAGCAGCAGGCACGTTCCCCTGGGGATTCCGCTGACGCAAACAGCGGAGTGGCCCCACTGGTTGAGGCGCAAGACAAGTTGCGACGGAAGCTGGTGAATGCCATGGTGTACCTTGGCAAATCAGCCAGGTTACACTGACACTCCGGCAATGGAATGTAGCGAGCATGGTCTATGTCAAGTTGCGAGAGGGTATGAATTTGTGTTCCGAAATTCACATCCACATTTGATTGATTTGGCCATGGATCAAATCATGGCATGTCAAAATATTTGGGTGGACCAGAGTTTGGTGGAATCAAGATCCATTTTGGAAGCGGAGATGGGAAACAAATGGGCTTGTCTTAAGATTTAGGGGAAACCCCTATATCCGCTGGCAATTCATCATTTTTCCCGTTTAAAATTATTAGAAGTTGCTATTTTATCTGTTTTCTGGGTATACCCATATTCAGACAATCCCGATAAGTATGAAAGCAACAAGACTCTGACTTACTGAGGCGTGCTGATCTGCCCATGTTGGCATGCCAGAAGGGCATCTATTTGGTGCGCAGACCAAGACACACCAAGACACACCAGGACACACCATTGTTGGGGGTATCTAAATTCTTTCCAAAAGTTCTCAATGTTGTTTTTGAGAAAATCATGGTGCGTCAGTCCAGTTCTTTCCCCGCTTCGTTGCGTTCACTGGCAGGGTGTCGCCATTCTGGACGAATGCCTCATGATGCAAAAACCAAAGCTTCGGCTGCTTGGCGTGAAGCTCACAGCTAAAAGAGAAGTAAGTGAGGCACCAGTATGATGGCAGCAGCCCTGTTGACGCAAAGTTAGAGAGAGAGAGAGAGATGAGGATGGCATAAGTCTACCCTTTCTTTGACATCAAAATACATTCTTCCCAATGTTTGAAAGAAATTGATGGAACTTGATATGGGTTTATTCAAGAATGTGAGGTGCCCGCATATATATTCAGAATTCAAAAAAGACGTTGAGATCTTGGGCCCTGCCGTCATTGGACGCTCATCTCATGGGTTTGTCTGAAAACATGGCATCTCCAAATTTGATGGTTTATATTTATCATGACATTCCGATGATATCCCATTATATTCCCCTCAAATCCCACTACATTTCCCTTGTATCCCATCACCTGTCCATTACATCCCATTACATCCCCATTAAGTTCCTTTGTTCATGGTTATCGTGTGTTATTGCGGGTTTTAACACCATGAAATATCCATCCATTTATTGTTGGTTGTATCCCCATTAAATTATAATTGGTTATTGATTCCCATTCCATTCTAACTATATCCCCATGATTATATTCCAATGTTCACATGAAATCCCTTTGTTGACGGTTATCGTCTTTTATATTCTCATTAGCACTAGGATTCTCGTGATGTTCCTGTTATGTATTGGTATGTCCCCATGGATACCATACGCCAAGCCGAGGCCTTTGTTATTGGCATCAGTGGCTCTGACCATCGCCGAGAAGTTCGAGGCCCCGGCCCAACACACCCCCGGATCCAATGAGTCCATATATGGCACCGGCCAACCATTGGGCCAGGGCGACAAGGATTTTGCCCAGCTGAAAGACCTCAATGATGCCATGGGCGATCACGCGTCCAATGAAGAACTGGTGCGCTCCGATGCGGAGGAAACGGACTAGCGATGTTTGGTGCAGTTGACCCATGTTCTGGACAGTTGGGAATTTGGATGTATATAATGATATAATGATATAATGAATGGTATAACATGGATATATGTAATGTACATTTATACACTGTGTATATATATATATATATGGACAGCTTACTTGAGCAAGTTTTCTGCGAAATCACATCCTTTTGAAGGCCCTTTTGGTCGTAGCAGGTCATGGCAGAGCTTGAGATGTTGAATGCCATTGATTATAACCTGCATCGGTCCGGGCGCTCGGCAGCAGCTGGCAGTGAAACATGGCTTTGACATGATTTACCCTCTGGTAAACTAACATAACTATGGAAAATCACAATTTTTAATGGGTAAATCCACTATAAATGGCTATTTTCAATAGCTATGTTAGTTTATTAGAGGGTAACTATCACATACTAGAACTAGAAGGACTTTGACAGATTTTGAAAGGGGGAAATATGCCACAGTGAAAATCGGGGTACTTGTGATACCATGCATAGGTTGTAGGGCGTTGGATGGCAGCCCAATTGCCCTGACATCAAGTGCCTGCCATCAAGTGCCTGCCGTCAGGCCGACTGCAGAGCACCACCGCTACTGGTGGGAAGACCCAACGGCAGTGAAAGTAGCAGATCTTCATGGTCCAATGGTCCACAGTTTGGCACAATGATGAAACACTGGGGATTTCACCGAATGGACCAACCCCCAAAGGTGACCCAGGTGACCCAGGTGACCCATCCGATGCTTCAGATTCGCCGGGGGATCACCTTGCAGATCGATCAGCAAACGCTGGCTTTGTTCATCGTTGGAAACGGATCGGTACAGCACGCAGCAACAAAATGCAACAAATATCATGCATCAAGTTCAGGGCTCAGGGACTTTGACTGAGTTTCACATAGTTTCACTGATGACAGAGGTGTTAGTCATGTTAGTCACTGAAGCCTGGCAGCGCAAGCGAGGATTGTGGAGTTTGTGAATGACCGAGTCGACTTGGGCAATGAGAAGGCAGAGGGGACAGCCCCCTGAAACATCCCGAAACCACCTATGACTGTGACCATTTACATCCATTTACCAATATTTACCATGTTTAATCTGAACACTTCTGAACGGGGGATGGGATTACCATGGATTACCTTGGGCTTGATTCTTCCAGATGGTGTCGTTGCCATGCGAGTGGGCAGAGCATGAAACTTTGCCCAAGCTTGACCGATAGCTGGACGTGGCTGGACTATCTCGTTCAGGATGACCATCCACCTTTTTGGTCCATTTCTTTCCATGGCCAGGGGCGAATCTTGAAAGCTTCTGAGTATCTTTGCGAGTCGATGCCTCGGAGACGAAAAAAGTGATGGTTTATTCATATGGGAGATATCGGTGTACTGTATGGTTTTCGGGTTTATTTCACATTTATTCATATGATTATCAGATTATCATTGATTATCCACATAGTAACTGCAATTCCAAGTAGAAGGTGAATATCTCACGAACCCAAGGGAGCTCGCAGAAAGTCATGGGATGCCATGGGACTTGAAAGCAACATGCATCTGCAACATGTCCGACGGCTTGCACTGCAAGATGTGCCTGTCTGGCAATGATGAACATCAAGAGTTTGGCAGAACCCCTTGATGTTTGGGGCAAACAGATCACACAAAATGCTGGATATGGTGTGTGGCTCGCTCTCAGGATGACGTTGCTTTGCGTGCTCTCCTGAGACGCTGGATGGGGTCACTTTGTGGGTCGATGTTACCCCAATGACTTGACCCATGACATCCCATGACTCATGACCTATCATGTGGGTGTATATATATATTATACATATGATATATATATACACATATAATCACATATAATCACATATATACACATATAATCACATATATACATATATAATATATATATATATAGATACAATATGACATATATATATATTTAGAAGGCACTTGCAGCCACACACTGGGGTACATGAAAATATTTATTTTGCCGTTTGCATTGTCATTTTTTTGTCATTTGATTCTGTCGTTTTTTTGGGTCCTGTCATTCGTCCACGTCATTTTTTTGTAATTTTTTGTCATTTTGTTTTTGCATTTTTGTTTGCCATTTTTCATTGATTTCCTTCATGGTTTGATGATCTTACTGTGTCTTGTGATTTTTCAATGGTTTTCAATGGTTTAAATGAAAGAAAAAATTGAAAATCAAGGAACATGATTAAAACATAGCAGAAAATGACAGAACAATGACAGGTAGGATTTAAGAATGACAAAAAAATGACAAGGCAAATGACAGAAAAATGACAGCTTAAATGACAGAAAAATGACAGAACAATGACATAACAAAATGACAGAAAAATGGCAGAAAAATGACAGAACAATGACAGGTAGAATTTAGGAATGGGAAAAAAATGACAAGGCCAAAATGACAGAACAATGACAAAAAAATGACAAAATAGTTATTTCCAGGATTCTCAGCCGGTTGGCCAAGTTCTTCCTAAATATAGATATAGATATACACAGGATATACGGGATATATACGTATTACCTGATTTTTTATCTCACTACGAGATCCGGCCCAGGCATCAGCAGGTCGATGGGCGCCCAGTGTGCAGGCGGCCTGTGGATGTTTGGCGGCCTTCACCATTCTTCAAAGGCCAGCGAAGAATTTCATGGTGATTTCATGGGGATTTCATGGTGATTTCATAAGGGATTTCATAAGGGATTTCATAAGGGATTTCATAAGGGATTTCATGGGATTCAAAATCCATGTTTGGTGCAGGTTGTGGGGATTCACCATGAAACTATGGGGATTTCATGCCAAAAGCCATGGGGAAAACACATTGACATGGGGAGATGATGGATTGCACGCCACTTTAATTTTCAGAATGCGTTAGGAAGACGGTCATGGATGGTGGGGGGCAGCGACAGATTTTGGAGAGTTTGGGATGAGTTTGTGGCCATGTTTGTTGTCACTTGACTACCGTGGACTCCCATTTTTATTGCCGTCTGGTACTTTAAGAAATAGCTCTGGAATTTTTCGCTAAATTTTACATAGCTGAGTCATCTATAAATGGGATCATTTTGGGGCAAATTTCCATAGCAAAGTGTTAGATGACCGGAGAGTACAGTCTGTGCCACACTAAGGGAGTCCTTGAGCGATGAGATCTGGAAGTTCCTGGTGACTGAACGCCGTTGGCAGCAGCTGCCCCTTGGCATTCTATCTTGGGGACACTACATATCCATTCCATATATATGTATATATATATATATCATATATAAACATATATATATATGTATATAATCATATATAATCAGCTGTTCAATTTTTGATAGCGGACACCGATGCTGTAGATGATCCCTTGGCAACTTGAAGGTTTCCATGTCCTAGGCGACGCCCATTCCATTGCGACATGGCCCAAGATCCTAGGCGCCTTGCCATCCGTGAGCTGCTCTCGCTCCTGAAGGTGCGTGCCGCCTGCGGTAGTTGACGCTGGCGCATCGGGTGATACTACCAAGAGAAGCATTGGGGTACTGTATATATAATCACATAAAATCACATACAATCATGTATAATCATATATAATCATACATGATCATATATAGTCATATATCATCATATATAATCATATATAATCATACATGATCATATATAGTCATATATCATCATATATCATCATATATAAGCATATATAATCATATACAATCATATATAATCATATATAATCATATATAAACATATATAATCATATATAATCATCTATAATCATATATAATCATATATAATCATATATAACCATATATAATCATATATCATTGTATATCATTGTATATCATGGTATATCATTGTATATCACTGTACATCATTGTATATCATTGTATATCATGGTATATCATTGTATATCATTGTATAGCATGATATATAATCATATATATATATATACTCATATATCATTGTATATCATTGTAGATCACTGTAAATCATTGTATATCATTGTATATCATTGTATATCATTATATATCAGTATATATTATACATAATTATTGTATGATTCTTGTATATTGCCAAGATTGAACAGGCTGATCGGAACTGATGATGGGAATCGTTAGCAGCCAACAGATCCGCAATGGGTTTTTGAGAACAGATTCACATGGCACGATTGGCACAGAAAAGGGGGGCTCAACCATCCTGAAGTGTGTACAAATTTCCAGGAGACTGCAGCACAAGCAATCTCGCATATGCTATGGGATATATGGGATGTTTGCTCCGACTTTACCTCCGTTGTAAGCCTGTAAGCAGTTAGTATGTATGGTTATTCTACCGGGTACCAACAAGAATATCAATGTCATTCGGCACACTCCGAAATTCCCCAGGAGGATGACATCAACAAGACGGTCATCTACCAAAAGTATGCCACTCTCGATCATTCCTACATTTCGATCAAGGCTGCGGATAAATCGGTAGCTGGACAGATCGGAAGCTGCATTGATACTGTAGATGGATTTTATCTCTTGGTGGGCACATGCCAGGTTTTGCGTTTCTTGTGGAGTTCCACAACATTTCACAGTAAAACAGTTGGCACGATCAGCTGTGGGGTAGGAAGCAACTCACTGGACCAACCCTGAATTCCCAATCAGCAGCTTTGCAGCTGGATTGTTCGTGATGGCATAGAAAAACACATAGAAAAACACATAGTTGACAAGTGTAAAAAGGCCCCCTGGTTTCCCTTAGAGAAACAGCCTGCTGCTCGTTTCTTGTGCAGGTGCATGGGATGTTGGACAAGCGGGTGAACATTCAATTGCACAAGCAGTGGACGCCATGATTAAACAGCTCCGAGCTGGACAGATGTCCTGTCCTGGTTCTGTGAAAGGCCAACGACTCATGGTTTCATTGGAACGAACAGCTTACCAGAAGTAGGAAGAAGGGGATCTTCACGATGTCACCTGCCATTTTGGACACATTTTTATGGTTTTTCCAAGTCTTTGGCATTTCCAAGCGACCAGCATCGATCTGCCGGTGATGAGTCGCAGCGGGTTCTGCAAGGAATTGAGGGATCTAAACCATGGTGCCAGGGAGGTGGCAATTGAGACGTGAAACACATGTCGGTCAGTTGTCATTGGACGAACATCCTGGTTCGGATAGTTCGGCCATGTTCGGGGGCAAGTTTTGTAATGCCACTGAGATATGTTGTGCGTCTCAAACATGCGATGATGCCACCTATTGGAGCACTGAGCAAGGAATTCAGTTCAGCTCTGATTGAGTGAAGGTCTCTAAATGGCCCACTCGATGCAAGACCCGAAGTGGATGCTTCGATTGACTTGTAAATGAAGTTGGAACTGTGGACATATTCCCAGTATATTTGTCTGTTTTAATCCCCACACATGTGTTTTTCAACAAAACAAATATACTGTGACAGTGTATATATATATATATGTATATTATAAATGTATGATATATTGATATATGATATGTATATATATATATGTATGTACCGTGGATACATTCCATATGTATCGCAGCAAGTGTCGCCCTATGATTGCACCGATGCGAGTCTTGCCTTGTCGCCTGAAGATCAGGGACAATTTGTGGATGTTTCGGTCTGTTTGAACAGGGGGCTGGCCCAAAAGCGCATGATTTTCCTTGTTAAAACAACCATAAATCACCACACATTTTTATATTCCATTATATTTCCCATTTTGAGCCGAACTCATATATGTGCATACTGCACGTTTGCGGAAGAGTCTTGCGAAAGCAGCAACTGAGATGTGCGAATGGCGGGTTTAAAACATACCAAGCTGGAGGACACTTTGCGTGAGAGTCGTATTCCACAGGATTTGATTATTCAGCCATCATGGATGTGCGATCCAAGTTGCTTCAACAAGTAACCCCCAATGAAAACTAGACCAATGATCCTCATATCAGATTTCTGGAAGTCTTGAGTTTCCAGTTTGAGGATTCACTCCTCTAAGCATCCTCCAACATCACCTTATCATCCATCCCAGTGCAGTTGGGCATTTGGGTACATTTTGTTGTTCGACGTCTCCCTTTCACATGTCCAAACTTTGGATCCTGAAAGACTTGGAGCGTTGATCAGTCGATCCTTCCCTTGTCTTAGCTTTGTCTAAAACACTTTAAACATGGCCAGCCCATGGTGCCATGGTGCCCGAACTCCGGGGCAGGCCATCATCCGTCAGATCACGGCCTCGGTGACCTTCCTTCCACTGCTGGATGAGCCCTGCACCTTCGATTTGTTGATCTATACCGACCGGGCGGCCGAGGTGGGGATCAGGAATCCAAGGTCATGGATGTGGGAGGTTCAAGGTCCACAGATGCGGTGATCGTGTTTTGTTTTCTGCAAAATGGATGATGATGGTTACGTGACGATGATGATATTATTGGAATTTGAGGAAGAGAAACGGAGGTGCCAGCAATTAAAGTAGAGATCCTTGAGAAACAGTCTTTCCGTGTTGAGAAGTTGGAGAAAGGAAGAGAGGCAGTCGGGTCTTGACCCACCCCCAATATTTATACATATTTATACAATATTGGGGGTGGGTCAAAACCCGACAGCATTCATTTTCCAGCTATTTTGGTGTGACAGAAGGTAGCAAGGTTTTGGCCATTGCCCCATAGCCACATAGCTTCAGAATGTCCCAGCTATTTTGACAAGGAACTCAGGATGTCCAGGAACCTCGGATGATTTTCAACCCTGCCCGGCTGATTAGGGCAGTCATCCCTTATAACGAAAACTGCCTATGATATATGTATATCTAAAATCTATACATACATACCATACCATACCATACCATACCAAACACAGTACCGTACCGTACCCTACCGTACCCTACCGTACCCTTCCATTCCATACCATTCCATACCATTCCATACCGTGCCAACCACACCACACCACACAACACAATACCACACCATACCACACCAAACACAGTACCGTACCGTACCCTACCGTACCCTACCATACCATACCAGTCCATACCATTCCGTACCGTGCCAACCACACCACACCACACAACACAATACCATACCATACCATACCAAACACAGTACTGTACCTACCATACCATTCCATACCATTCCATACCATTCCGTACCATTCCGTACCGTGCCAACCACACCACACAACACAATACCATACCATACCAAACCATACCAAACACAGTACCGTACCGTACCCTACCGTACCCTACCATACCATACCATTCCATACCATTCCCATTCCATACCATTCCGTACCGTGCCAACCACACCACACCACTCAACACAATACCATACCATACCATACCAAACACAGTACCGTACCGTACCCTACCGTACCCTACCGTACCCTACCATACCATACCATTCCATACCATTCCGTACCGTGCCAACCACACCACACCACTCACCACACCACACCACCAGTCCCATTCCCTCCCCCTCCCTTCCCCTACATACCCTAAGGCCCCTTCCCCTCCCCATTCTTCCTCTTTCCCACACCCCATCCCCCCCCCACTCCCTCCCACCCCTCCCCTCCCCTCCCCCCCCCCTTACCGTACCGTACCCTACCGTACCCTACCGTACCCTACCATACCATACCATTCCATACCATTCCGTACCGTGCCAACCACACCACACCACACAACACAATACCATACCATACCATACCAAACACAGTACTGTACCTACCATACCATACCATTCCATACCATTCCATACCATTCCGTACCGTGCCAACCACACCACACAATACCATACCATACCAAACACAGTACCGTACCGTACCCTACCATACCATTCCATACCATTCCGTACCGTGCCAACCACACCACACCACACAACACAATACCATACCATACCATACCAAACACCTACCGTACCATACCATACCATACCATACCATACCATACCATACCATACCATACCAACATACATACCAACATACATACATACCAACATACATAAATACCAACATACATACATACATACATACATAATACCTACATACAAATACATCATAATACATACCAAACATACCAACAATAAAACCCAACATAACCAACATAACCAACATACCAAATACCAACATACCAACTACATACTCTACTAACATACATACATCTAACATACACAACCTACTACCTACATACCTACATACCTCATACCTACATACCTACATAACATACATCATACCTAACATACCTACATCCTACATACCTACATACCTACAATACCTCCATACCTACAATACCGACATACCTACATACAACATACTACTACATACCACCCTACCTACAACCTACAATACCTCATACCTACATACCTACACCTACAATACTACATACCACATACCTACATACATACCTACATACATACATACATACATACATACATACATACATACATACATACATACAGGCATACATACATACATACAGGCATACATACATACAGGCATACATATAGGCATACATACAGGCATACATACAGACATACGCAACATACACACACATACACATACACACACATATATATGTATATGCATACATGTATGTATGTATATATATATATGTATTCGTATGTATATACATACATATACATACACACACACACGCATATATATATATACACACAGAAATTGCCATTGAAATGGCTATTAAAAGGACTATTAGCCAATAGTACTCCCCCAAAACCGTTGCCGGGTGCAGTTTTCCTTATGCGCAGGTGCCTACAGCCTGGGGTGAGAGCGATCCCAAGTATATCGTAGGTGCGGACCTTGAAGAACTGGGGTAGTTGACAGCTGGGTAGTTGGACCTGGGTCATGACGGATGACAGATCCAGTTCTGACAAACCCTTGGATGGAATGGGGCGAATGGGGTCCACTATTGCAAAAGGATAGTTGAAGTGTTTTTGGCTTCATGGGAATCATCGAAACTCAATAGGCACACAGGCAAAGCATACCTTACAGAATACTATTGGCACACTATTTTTTGTCATCTCAGATCCATTGGTGATGCACCCGGAATCTCCGAAGCATCAGAAGTTCACCTGCCGCTCCAGCGCCAAAGGTGGTAGCGAAGAAGTGAAGTTGCGGTCCTTTACGACCAAGATCCACCAAGCGCGCGAGACGGAAATGGAGCAGATGGGCCTGTCTGATAGCATGGGGGATACCATAAAATGGCAATAATTTCAATTTTCATTAGATGGGAAACTCTAGAGAAAATGATGAGGAAACTTAGCCTATTTTCAGACCAACCCAGATCTAGCATTGTTGAAACTTCGATCCATGTATGATGGACGGATCCGCGCCACAAGCCTCATCCAATGTCTTGCTAATCAATGCAACCGAGCGATGTTTAGCAATCTGAGACCTGACAGAATTGAACATCCATTGTGAAGAATTGTGGAGAATATGAGGACAAAGGGCATTTTCAATCCGGTGTGTGCCTGAATTTTACGTTACTGTAACCACAGCGCTAGGTAGACGGCGCCGTGGCCTACCGCTACAGTGAAGCTGGCGCTTGAGCTTCGGTGAAGTGACAGAAGATCCATGAAGATCCCTTGAAAGCTGGTTGCTTCTATTATTATGATGTATTATGTTTCCTTTATTTTAGGTATTGTGTTGCAGCCAACTTTTTCACAAGAGTTGTGTGCTGAAGCACTAGGGCACAGCTGGGCGTTGCAGCTGACTTTATGTTGAATGATTTAGCCGCAAGGGCCTTTAGCCGCACTTCCATGTCGGATAGGTCCTTTAATTCAATTCGAGCTGCCTTGCAATTTGGAACGGCTTCTGAAGATACCATGGTTCCAATGGTTGCAGGATCCGGCAGTCATGATGCAAGTGATGATCAACATGCACCTGCGAAAATGAGAAGAGCAATCCGCTGGGAAGCCCACAAAAGATACTAGCATGAATATCCTGGCTGGAAAAAACTAACGGGCATTTGCACTAACATCCACAGCATACACATTTTTGTCCGACTTGGAGTGGTATTTGCGGGTTGGAGAGGTTGGGTTTGGAATCACACTGCGTGCAGCCATTGGCTCAAGCCTGTTGAAGGTTTAGTGATGAACTTGTGAACCTTGGAAAAGAACATATTGTTTCAAGCTTTAAGTAGATCCTCTTCAGGATATGTTTTTGGAGTTGGTACGGCAGATTGCTTGGGGTTATTCTCATGTCTTCAAGACGGCTTTTGGAATGGGCTGAAGCCAGCAACATGCCAGCAATCAATCTTGTAAATCTTGTTTGACGTTCAGTCTTGGTGAATGCATTCTCTCGCGCACAGACACCAAGAAGCCACACCAGCTCTTGTTCCAGATTCAACTTGCAGCTTTTGCAATTCGAAAGACTGCCCATTTGCTACCTATGGCAAAACTGACAGATGCTCTGAAAGAGGTGAATCATGGAAGCTGATGAATACGTTCCAAAACATTCACTTTGGCTTTGATATGTATATATAATACACATACATATTTATGTTTATTTACGGATGATGGTATGTGAATGTATAGATATGCACTCATATAGAGGCGGAAGGAAACATTTGTTTGTCAAGCCAGCTTTGTCATCGTTGCAGGTTTGACATTTCAACAACCGACCTGACAACAAGCATGCATTCTGCGTTTTATGTATTGTATACATGCTATGTGGTACATACTACATACTATTGCAAAGGTCCGCACATACTCTTTTTTCTACCCATCTTTATCCGTATCTTAATTATATATCATTCATCCATTTTGTTTGAATGTATCCAACTCTATAGACATATAATCAACGAAACCGGATTACATATATATATATATATACATATGTAAGTTATGAAATATGCATAAATATCATTTGAAGTCAGTCATGACTGATCGGTGCAGGCTGCAGAGCTGGGATGTGCTGATGAGAAGAGCTTCAGCTCTTCGTGTCTCAGCTCTTCGTTTTGGCGTTTTCGACATCGAATCCACGTCCCAATGGTCCCAGCAGGTCCCGTCCCAGGTCCCAGGTGAAGTCAAAAACGGGCACCTCCCAGGTGCACAGCTGTCTTGACGAAACTCAAGCGAGGATTTGCGGAGGCTCTGGCAGTACATTACCAGATATCAGTGTCATCCAAGGGATGGTCATTTTTGTATATCACATGCATCAGTTAATAGCAATATCCGGGTTGTTTCTCACTTGCATTTGGTGGAAGTCGTGAGGTGAAAAAAGCGCCGGAACTGCTTGATGAGGCAACTCTGCTTGATTACATTGGGTTGCCGGACGTGTTTGATGTCTTTTTTGACATCCACTTACTGTAGCCTTTTTTGACATCCATTTCTGCAGAGCTCAACCTCTGTCATGGTTGTGAGCTTTCGCAAGGAGTGAATGGTAATTTGTCGAGCTTTCAAAGGTAGCCTTCCAGCGTCTTCCAGCCTTCAGAAAGGTACCTGCAGAGATTTCAGCATGGTCTGAAGCTCGGTTGTCGTTGTCCAGGTGATCCAGATGAGTAAAGGGCGGTTGGGTGGAAGATCTCCAATGCTGGAATTCCCACAATGTTTGTTTCATCATTATTATTTAAATATATTTAAATATATTTAAATATATTTTAATATATTTTAATATATTTTATAGCTCTAACGTTTTGACAAATGCAGTGAACTGCATTTCCAACGGCACGTGGGAAGCTGATCAAAGGCCCTTCTTCCTCCGCGTTTGTGAAAAAGCCTCCTTTGCCAAACAGGTGCCACATGGGATGCGATTTCACTAGGGGCGTCCCAGTGAAATCGGGATATTTTTCTATAGTCTATAGTCATCAAAGTTTTCTTTGGGACAAGAAGTCCATAGACCATAGACATTCTATGATATGCTATGTATATATATATATATATATTAATATATATTATATATATGTATATTATGTGACTATTCTATAGATAATGCATGAGCATATCGTAATTATTTCTGCCCGCCGGGCCGCAGTTTGGTGTCTCCGCCTCAGGCTTGGGAAGGGACAGCTGTACTTCTCCAAGATTCGAGGTGGAGCGCTGGGGAGTTCACCATGGGGATATCCCCATGTTTAATATTCTTTAATATGGGGATATATATATATATCTATGATTTGATTGGATTAAACATGGGGATTTACACTTATTATAAGAACCGCAAGTTAAATGCTTTAAGAATCAAACACGGGGGTTAGACTACAAGTATTTTAAGTGATTACGGAGATTTTTAAAATGATGTGCCGATAGGCCGATAGCAACAGGACCATCAGAATGGGTGAATGGCAAGGTGCCAGAGTGAACGGACACATATCCAAGTATTCCATGGTGTGCCTGCAGGGAATCATGCACTACCCTCTGGTAAACTAACATAACTATGGAAATCACAATTTTTCATGGGTAAATCAACTATAAATGGCCATTTTCAATAGCTATGTTTCGATCATCTTACCTGGTGCCACAGAAGCCTCCAGGCATGGCGGAATCACCTTTTGCATCCTTTTGCCACTGCCATCGCGCTTCCTAGGTGGAGGGCCACTTTTGCTCAACAAGAGCAGAAGTTGAGCCTAAACCTCTGGAAGGCTGGAATATATGTTTTTTTCCAACGTCTGAGTATACGGTTGTCTTAAGCCATTCGCTTGTTATATGTCAAGTTATCATATATGCTCCGGCGTACTCAGTATGTTTTTAGAAGTCTTGGTTGATGAAAAACAACATTCAAGTGTCACACCTTGGCCGAGACTCAAAAGTGTTTTTATGTTGAGTTAAACGACGGACGTTTGCGTCCAGGGATGGGCCTCGAAATTATGGCCATTTAATGGGGAAGATGATGATGAACCGGGGGATTTTGGATGATTTTGGGACAACCAAAAAGTGCCTTTGCGAACTTTCTCAGCTTTCAAAGGCAGGGCAGCGCGATGTGCCTCTGGTCTTGGAGTTGTTGAAGAGACTGCCTGAGGTGCTGGTGTGTCTTGTACAGGAAATCACTAGAAGTTGTTTGATACAAAAATGGGGTCTATGGGGATTTCACCAACAAAAATGGTATATAATATAAGTTATATAAGTATAATGGGGACTTCATGGGAGATAACAGGGATATACCTGAATAAGATGAGAAACTCCATGCCAAAAACTATCCCCAGTGTGACTATAAATGGTTGGGATTTCTGTCATCGAAGCTATTGGCCACTTTTCAGGGAGCTCACTAAGCTCACTGCTGCTACTGAGAAGCGATTTGTTTCTTCCATTTCAAGTCACCATGATGACAGGCTGGTGACTTTTTTCCTCTGGAGCAAGTGCCAGGCCGCCCAACCGACTGATGGCTGACACCGACTTTAGTAGAGAGGACACTGCCTGAGATATGGCCCAGAAGCAGCCAGACTTTCAGAGTCCCCTGGCAGCCCTGTATGAGTCATATAGAGTCTTCGGATCCATTGGTGTCCATTGGATACGAAGTGCAGGTTCCATGGCCGGCATTGAAAATGGCCGTCAGCTGTCGTTGGAGGCATGGACCCAGCGCTTTGCACTGCCTTGCTCGACTTTTTCCAGGAGACTCAGGGCAGGGCGGCAAAGTCAGTTTGAACATCGAATTGTTTCCTCAATCCTTGGCTCAAAATGAGCTGAATTTCACACAACTTCGGTGCAAGAGACCCGGTGGAATAGTTTGAGCCAATCATTTTGCAGGCTACACTGATTTTCAATAGTTGGTGTTGCAAGGAGAACGAAAACACAGAGGCTGGGACACATCACATAGTGCCGGGCCCGGGCCATTAGCTCCTGGCTGACGAGACTTTAGAAGGTTTTGGCCTTCAGTCTTCACTTAAAAAACACATATGGAGGTTTCCAAAGTCATGGGTACCCTAAAGATCATCCATTTATAGATGGATATTTTCCATGAACTCAACAATCTAGCTAGTGGGGGTACACCAGCATAGGGACCATAGGGACCATAGGGACCATATTTATGGAAGGCCGAAGCGCTCTCCGCGGCCCTTGTGGAGCGGGCCGGTGAGGTGGAGGTAGGGGACCGGTTTCCTAAGGCAGGTACCCCAAGTCACCATAGGACCATAGGACCCATAGGTTTCAAGACTAAGTCATGGTCATGACTTGGATGATTTGTTCATTCATGAAGTCTTACAAGTTTGAAAGAAACATATAGAAACATGATTTTACTGCTTGCCTTTCTGGGGTTGGTCAAATTTTAGTATGTTTTTTTTTTATTGGGGGGTTCCATGGGGATAGATGGTTTATTTCCATGGGAAAATCGAACAAAATCTCCATCAATAGATGATCAATGGGGGTACCTTGCCACTTGGGAAAGTTCCAGGTGAAGCGCAAAGTGGTGGCGCCCGAGTCGAAATCTGCTGTGGGCAAGGAGCCCATTCCTGCCCTGCCTGGAAAAATATGTTGGTTTGGTGAGAATGATGTGGAAATATCATAATCCTTATGGTGATTTTAGCGTTGGGATTGCTAAATCAAGGTTGGTTGACTTCCATCATTCCAAAAGATTCCAACTTTGAAGCTCTTTCAGACCAAAAAGCACCAGGACGCCAACTTGCCAGTCTACGTGTGCGAGGTGGATTTCGTTTCGGTTTCTCGCAAGTTGTGATGGGATTTGGATTTGCTGCCAGGGCATTAGCGGCTCGCACCAAAAGATGGAAATCAAGAAGGGCTTGTGACAGGCCAAAAAGATGCAACGCTTGTGCCGCCATGTTTTGGGATGGGTTCTTTCCACCGAGGGGCGACTTTTAATTGCACAGCGTTCAAGAGCTTGTTGCATTGGCCGTTCAAAACAGGCGATACTTTTTCTTGTAAACCTTTGTTCCAGCAACTTTTTGTTTGGCAAGCAGGTGTCTGAGAATATTTCCAACGAATTATCATTATATCCTCATTCTTCCCCTTTCAATTGCCACAGACACGCGATTTGAATGGAACCACAGCTGTTCAAACCCGAACTTTAGATCGCGCAGCTGCTGGGTAGTGCGCGCGCCACGGGTCATGGGCCAACTTCAAGTGCCAAACATACAAAACATAGCATCTTCCACTTTGCAACTGAACATCATGAACATCATGAACATCATGAACCATTTTTTCTGATTGGACCACATGTTTCTGTTCTAACTAACTTGCGAAGTTTTAATGCAGCTCTGCAGTTTCCGCCTTGGATCCTTGCTGCAACCGCCCGAATGATGGGGGAACATCGCCAGATCTTTGAGGACGGGCCCGCGGAATCGGTTGAGCGTTTCTCTGTGGGCAAAACGGGAACATCCATCAGGATCATCCTGAAACGTTGTCGTGATTGTATCGTAATCATTCATAATTTATTATAATCTATTATATTCATTAATACATATTTATAAGCTATGTATGATGATTATTGATGATTATGATACAACATCAGAACAATACCGTTTCAGGCCAAAAACCAGTGACGTTTCATGTTGTTTCTCTACCCATGGCCGGCGGAATTTCGCCATGGCAGGATTGCCGCGACATCAAGAAACAGCCTCTTGGCAGATCATCGAAGTACCAAACCAGAACGGCAAAGACATATCTAAGTACCATATAAGCAGACCCAACAAAACACAAAACTAAGTATATATTATATTATATTATACCTAATATATACAATACTTAATATATATATATATATTACTATATTGTATACCTTTGTACATAATAATTTAATAATCATCATATTACAACAAGTTACAACAAGTTCGTTTTTTCACAAATCCCTGCGGACCAGGCCCTCCTGGTCGAAGCGCCGGGGCGCTCTCTTCGGGCGCGGACGATATGTCTGACTTTGGCTGTTCGCATGTGGGTAAAAGCCGCTAGAACAGTGTAAGACATTAGGTAAACCATGGTGAACTATGGTAAAACAGCTGTAAAACATGGTGAAAACCATGGTAAAACCTGGTACTACTTTGGGTAAGACATTGGGAAAACCACGATAATTTTCTGTGAAGTATGGCAAGACATGGTAAATTGCCATGAAAGATCTACTAGTATGAACATAATAATTGGAGCTACGTAGGCGACGTAGCTTAAATGATAAGCCACCGATGCGAAGCAGAAGCAGGCTCGGCTTGGGGATTGCCGCCATTGCCAGCGTTGCTTCCTCAACTGTTGGCAGTTGGTGGTTGTCGATGGGGTTTGGGTTGCGGTTGCGATCACCCATCCTATCAAAACCAGTCTCCAAAATTGTGCGAGAAACCTATGCTTGGGCTTAGGGAGGCTCTTGTGATCTCATGGATGTGCTGAGAGCGGAAAGGGATTTAGAAGGCAGTGCACCATGTCATTCTCATCCGCTCGCAGCTTGCATGGCGCACAACAACTACTGAATTTGGCGGACGTTTTGATCCAGAAACTCTCTCCGTGCAGCTCTCAGTGCTTGGCACAGGTTCCAGGGAAGTGACAACAAGGGGATTTTCAAGGTGTTTTTTCAATCAGCAACATTCAAGTGTGTTTTCTTGGTAGGGGAACCATGGGGAACCCCCAAATCAAAATTGGTCATTCTTACTGAACCAATGGTTTTGGATGGTGGGCTGGGGTGTAGCAACCCCTGAAGAGATGGACCAGTAGTTCACAATTTACCATTCTTTTAGCATTGGATGTTAATTACTTTTCTGTCCTTGTTTGGGGTTTCTGTCCCCGATTTTGACAAATACCTCAGGCACTTCTTTCAAGCCCAGGTCGGCGATCTTTTGCGGATGTTTCGCGAAACTCGAGAGGCCGGAAACCATGGCTTTTAAGATCTCTTAAGGCAATTTGTTGCCCCAGAAAGTAATGACACTGACATGAAATTTAACGACAAAGACTGGAGAACTTAAATGGGGATGGTTGGGGGTGCACACGACCGAAATCTTCTGGTCACAGGGTCATAGACATAGAGTTTTGCCCACACCCATACCATCCCATAGCTGTATACTGTTTAAAGGTGGCCATGGGTGGATTTGAACGGTAAAGTCTCGCCAGCAACCAGAAGATTTCAATGTCGGCGGACTCGTCCGTAGTGTTTTTTCTTGCTGAGTTCACCCAAAAGATCAGGACTCACCATCCCAGTTCAAGCTCAAGGTCCATTTCTTTTCCATTTCATTTCCAAATTGATATTCTCCAATATTCTCCACTCAGAATTCCGACCTGAACAAGTTTGTCCGGAAGCAGGTATATAATAATTACCCCAAAATGGCTATTTCAATATGTTTTCTGGACAATGATGATAAACCGCTTGTGTTTTTTTTTCCCCATCACTTTCGGAACGACTGTAACGACTGGATGCGACCTGGTGGCCAAAAGCCGCGTGGCTCGGCAGTACCTCTCGGCCTCGGGTTGGCGAGAACAAGATGGAACCTTCGTTCCTCGAACTGCTGCTGAGAGGCCGATGCCTGAGGATCAAAGTTGATCAAAGTGACCTGAGAAAATCAGTGTGCTGAAATCAAGAAAAAACCTATGATGCATCAATCATAATTATATCTGAAGTACATGACTTTACATGAGGATACATGAGGTATGGAAGGAGATCCAGTCAATTTTCATTGTGCTTTCATTGCTGGGCACTCAAATGTGGAGGCTTGGTGAGCCAAAGGCTAGCATGCCCAAGCCAATGGGAATGAGGAGGCAACTGGGGAAAGGCACCGTGATTTGTAGCAACTCTATCGTTTTAACATGTTTTAAGGATCTCCCTTCTCACAGCCACGATTTCAAGAAATGGATTGGGGATTTCGAAGTTGTTGCCAATCTCATATGCCATTGTATCAAATTAGATCCCAGTTTTCAGACCCTAAGCATCCCCCATCCCTCATTTGGATTCATTTGGGGCTTTCCATAATGGGGGTACCCTTTCCTAGCTGGTTGGTTTATTATGGACAATCCCATTAAAATAGATGATCAATGGAGGTATGTTGCTGAAAGCTCTGGCGGCAGCCAGGTACTACACACGTGTCTCCAAAAGCAATGCTTGTGGTGCTGGCATCAGAGCGCCTCGCCCGCAAAACGAGAGGCTTTTTTTTTAGCAATGGCCGGCACATCCCTGCCGCTTTGTGGTTAATTATGTATATATGTGTACATATATAATACCCTCAGGTACAAGAGGGTCTGGAATGGTCTGCCTACAGGTCCAAAAATTCAAGGTCTAGAATGGTTTTTTGATCAGTTTAGACCTTGGCCCGGGATCACTTAAGACCTTTTGACTATATATAAGTAAGGACTGGTAACACCATGTTAGACCTTAGCCTTTTGGGATCATGTTAGACCTTCGCACCCTCTGGATGGGATCATGTTGGACCTTCGCAGTGAAGGACAGGGAGATTTTCCAGCCAAATCTCCAAAGCTTCAGATTGAATTCGGAAGGGTCAAATGAGTCAAATACCTGGTTCTAGCTGCGACATGCCCAAACATGCAGCAGGGACGTCTACTCTACTTTAATCCACGTCATCACAACTATTTCACTTACCTGATGGAATTCACTGCGTCAAAAATGGATTTCCCTAGCCCTTATTGCACCCTTTTCCAGGAAAACACCTACGCAATATCAACACAGACCCATCAGACAGAGTTGAGGGAAAATTTGACATGAAACCCGATAGAAGGATATATCATAAGATATCCATATATTTCCACAAATGTTTTCAGAAACCTACATGGAACTGAATGAATCTGTTGGACCCCAGAGAAAGGACAACATGTTTACCTGCTGTAATTCACTGCGTCTAAAATGAATTTCCCTAGCCCTTATTGTATCCATTCCCCAGGAAAACACCTACGCAATATCAACATAGACCCATCAGAGTTGAGGGAAAATTTGACATGAAACCCGATAGAAGGATATATCATAAGATATCCATATATTTCCACAAATGTTTTCAGAAACCTACATGGAACTGAATGAATCTGTTGGACCCCAGAGAAAGGACAACATGTTTACCTGCTGTAATTCACTGCGTCTAAAATGGATTTCCCTAGCCCTTATTGTATCCATTCCCCAGGAAAACACCTACGCAATATCAACATAGACCCATCAGAGTTGAGGGAAAATTTGACATGAAACCCGATAGAAGGATATATCATAAGATATCCATATATTTCCACACATGTTTTCAGAAACCTACATGGAACTGAATGAATCTGTTGGACCCCAGAGAAAGGACAACATATTTACCTGCTGTAATTCACTGCGTCTAAAATGAATTTCCCTAGCCCTTATTGTATCCATTCCCCAGGAAAACACCTACGCAATATCAACATGGACCCATCAGAGTTGAGGGAAAATTTGACATGAAACCCGATAGAAGGATATATCATAAGATATCCATATATTTCCACAAATGTTTTCAGAAACCTACATGGAACTGAATGAATCTGTTGGACCCCAGAGAAAGGACAACATATTTACCTGCTGTAATTCACTGCGTCTAAAATGAATTTCCCTAGCCCATATTGTATCCATTCCCCAGGAAAACACCTACGCAATATCAACATAGACCCATCAGAGTTGAGGGAAAATTTAACATGAAACCCGATAGAAGGATATATCATAAGATATCCATATATTTCCACACATGTTTTCAGAAACTACGTGGAACTGAATGAATCTGTTGGACCCCAGAGAAAGGACAACATATTTACCTGATGGAATTCACTGCGTCTAAAATGAATTTCCCTATCCCTTATTGCATCCTTTCCCCACAAAACACCTACGCAATATCAACATAGACCCATCAGACCCTACCCAGCCCTTCACGAAAGACTCTGCTCAAATACAATCTTTTGAAAAAACATATGTTTCACAGATAAATGAATCTTTTGACATGATTCTCAGGCCTCCTTAGCTGCTTCCAACGGATGGGTGATCAAAATGAGGCATGCTAGAAATGATTGGAGACGTCGCATGGCCAACCACAAATGACACGGGCCCTACAAACCCCCAAGACGCAGAAACTTTGAGACTGTGTTTGTCTTCAAAATGCAGCAGTAAGAAGAAAGTATAATGCCATCAAGCGATAGCCCAAAGTAGAGTAGACGCCCCTACTGAGGAAAAAACAGAGGTTTAATCTGAGGGGGGACATAGGGGGACCAGGGACCAGAGGGTCTAAACTGTTCTTGCGGTTGAGGGTCTAAAGTGTTCCTAGCCAGCTAACATGCTACTGGAAACACCTGCCGAGGCCTGGATCCAGAACCCTAGGGTAGGGTCTGAACACTTAACGAAATCTAACGTTTACTCCCAGGCAAGTCCATCTTAGACCCACCAAAAAAGGTCTACAATGAAAAACCTGAAGTCCCTTGGTTGTAGCTGCCGGGATCATATATATATAATAAATCATACACGTACCATGTGTATATATGTTTGTATACATATATACACTATATATATATGTAACATACAAAAATGTATTATATAATCTCTCGCTCTATACATATATATATAAGTAATAAGTATATATGTATTATGATCTTGGCTTAAACACAAAAACATGGATTTAAACTGATTTAATCCAGAAATGATGGTTGGTTAATGTTTCGACAATGGGGTCATACTCGTTTGATCCGAGGACCATGGACTGGTTTCTTTGGTCCCCAACTTTGTAGCAGTAGTAACAGTCTTGTGTCACCATGATTGGCATGATTGATGATTGTGAATGTACTCAAATAGTTAGTGGTGCAAAATTACCTATAAACGACGTTGTTGACGTTGTTGACCTTGCTGACGTTGTCTTCGTCGTCGTGGTCGTCGTGGTCGTTGTGGTCGTCGTGGTCGTCGTCGTCATCATCATCATCATCATCGTCGTCGTTGGTTGTGGTCGTCCTGGTCGTCCTGGTCGTCCTGGTCGTCCTGGTCGTCCTGGTCGTCGTCGTCGTCGTCGTCGGTTGTGGTTGTGGTTGTGGTTGTGGTTGTGGCTGTGGTTAGTGGTTGTGGTTAGTGGTTCTGGTTGTGGTTGTGGTTGTGGTGGTTGTTGTTGTTGTTGTGGTTGTTGTTGTTGTTGTTGTGGTGGTCGTCGCCGTCGTCGCCGTCGTCGTCAAAGTCGTTTCCAATTTCAAGCAAATCACAAATACGTAACAGCAATAAGGCACAGTATGTATGTACAATCCCGTCTCCCTAATATTTTCAATACCCCCCATTACAACCCTGGTCTAGCATTGGATCTATTCATGACTGAGCCCATCGGGCCCCAAAATTGGGGATCTATCTACCGCAGGATGTCTATGTATGCTATAACATACATACATACATACATACATACATACAAACATTACATTACATTACATTACATTACATACACATACACACACATATATATATATGCGTTGTTCCATCCAACAAAAACCAAGTATCAACAGGTTGGTTCAAGGGAAATCTAAGCTGCAAAGCACGGTTTTGAACACCAATCAGAAAGGGGTTTCCTGCAGATTTTACCTTGCTCTCCAGTAATCAAGCATGACAATGGAAAATCTCTCATTCAGAGATGATTTTCCCATGTACATGCCCGTTTAGTAACCGGGGATTTCCCAGCTAGCCATGTGGCTGATGATACCGGAGGGTCCCATTAATCACTCTTAATCATCATGAATCACCATTAATCAACCATTAATCAACCATTAACCAACCATGATTAACCCATCACACCGAAGATTGTGAATACAAAACCTACCACTCTCTTGTGATGAATCGTGATGAAAAAACCTCCAGGATGTGATGCACTTCACTGCAGTGCTCCCGGAAGTCGATGTCAAATACGTCATGGAGGCGTTTTCTGCACCACTTTATAGGGGAAAATAGGGGAAAATCATGGGGAATGCTGATTGGTAGGGAAAATAATGATTCGTCCAGACGTAGCTTTGGGATAGAAAAGCAATTTTTACCGATTTCATGGCACTTAAAAGGGGCGAATAGGATGATTTTGCTGTATATATATATATATATGTATATATACACAATACACATATACACATAGACACACACACACATACACACATACATACATACATACATACATACATACATGCATGCATACACACATACACAGACATACACAGACATACACATACATACAGATACATACACATGATACACATAGATACACATATATAGATACACATATATAGATACACATATATACACATAGATACACATAGATACACATAGATACACATAGATACACATAGATACACATAGATACACATAGATACACATAGATACACATAGATACACATAGATACACATAGATACACATAGATACACACATACACATAGATACACACATACATACACATATACATATACACACATATACATACACATATACATACACATACACATATACACACACATATATATATATATATCTATACACATACACATACACATACATATACATACACATACACATACATACACATACACATACATATACATACACATACACATACATATACATACACATACATACACATACACATACATATACATACACATACATATACATACACATACATATACATACATATATACATATACATATAATTATAATACATACATACATTCATACATACGTACGTACGTACGTACATAGATACATAGATATATAGATATATCGATACATAGATACATATATACATAGATACATAGATACATAGATAGATAGATAGATAGATAGATAGATAGATAGATAGATAGATAGATAGATAGATAGATAGATACATACATACATACATAGATACATACATACGTACGTACATACATTTATATTTATACATTTACGGGGGAACCTCCTGAAACGAACAATGGGCTTTCATGGTGATTTGCAGTTCACAGATTAGGGTTATCCCCTAGGGTAGTATAATCTCCGAACTAACTACCAACAAACAGGGTACTGCAACTGTTTCAGTCCTTTTTGAACTGCCCATTTCGCTGTCAAAATTCTCAGCCCCGGAAATGGATGGGAACGTGATGATGACCATGGGCCAAAAATGGCCAAAAAAGTGATGAAATCATGGGAAGATCAACCAAACGCTCAAGATTTAGCGATATATTTAGTGGGATTTTTGTGGGATATGAGAGCGTTTTTGTGGGCACACTCTTCTGACCATGCTTTGACATGAGGAGCGACAGATTCTGCCCACATGAGCCTGCGGAGAGGCACATTTTGAGTTGACCAACCCTCAGGCGTTGACCAACCCGGGCTACACCAACTGGAATCCATCGCTACATGGCGTCGGGTCCCTCAACTTTTGTCCAGGGACTTGAGCTGAGTCATCACTGAGAGCTTCGCAACGAGGGAGTTTTCATGGCCCCCTTGCTATGTGATCGCATTTTTTCGCACTTGAACCATCTTGAACCCAGGTCATGTTTCGCCGACATCGAAGGATCCCTCTAGATGCAAACCTCAAAGACACCTTCACCCTTGAGGCAGTGACTCAATGGTGTCGCGCCGCGGTGGCAGGTCCTTGCAGTGGAAAATTGATATTAGGAGATACAGGGTTTCTAATACAGGGTTTCTAATTCCAATGGGGCTAGTCATCATTTTGTCACATTTTCCCTCTGAAAGTGGCCTGGGGCTGCGCTCGAGGAGCTGAAGGTGAAGGGTGGCTACAACCATTTGGAACAAAGCAAGGACACCATCGATGTGGCAGCTCAGGTGGGGGAGAACATTCTTTTGTGATTTTGGCAAAATCACTCAGATGTCTGGCAAGACATATGTACAAAAAAAATGGGGTAGTAGCTCTTAGATCCTCCTGATGTATGGTTGATGTATCAGAATAATATCAGGAGCAGGTTTGGCTCAGATTTTTTTCAACCAAAAACTGTCAGATATGGGCTTGTCTGAAAATAGGCTAATCCATCACATCCATTCGTCAATCCTAAGCTTTCTTATGAAATGTCTGGAAACGAATCCTAACTTTCCTTATCAAATAATATTCAATGACTATTAAATGACGATTTCAAGTTTTTTTTTTGTATACCAGGCCATATCTCCCTGGTTGTTTCACAGTCCAGGTGTCTGAACTGATGGTTCCCAAAGTGGCCGGGGACCTGATGGCGAACATTCACCGGGGCCTCGATAAATATACACAAATATGTAATCATGATGATAGTGACAATGATAATTAATAATATACAATAATATTGTACATATATATATGATATGATATGATATGATATGTTATGATATGATATGATATAATATGATATATGATATGATATATGACATGACATGATATGATATTATATATGATATGATATATGATATGATATATGATATGATATATGATATGATATATGATATGATATGATATAATATGATATTTTATTATATAATATGATATAATATGATATGATATATATCATATCTATCTATCTATCTATATATATATATATCATATATATATATATATCATATATATATATATATCATATATATATATATCATATATATATATATATATATCATATATATATATATATATCATATATATATATATATATCATATATATATATATATCATATATATATATCATATATATATATGATCATATATATATATGACATATATATATATATGTTATATACAATATATATATATATATATCTATTTGATATACGATATACAACATGTGATATATGATAATAATATATGGTATATGATATATGGTACCATCTATGACATACACCGTATAACTATATGATGTAAATAGTGTGTGACGTACGATAAATGATATACAATAGACAATATAACACAATATAAAATACTACCTACGCTAGCAGTGAGAATAGCAACAACAAACCATTGGATTCTTGAGCAAAAATCCAGGTGACTACAAGCAGTGCCGTGGTTTTGTCTCAAAACCATCCCATGTTTGAAATCATGATTTTCCAACATTTCAATGGCCTCATTTTTGGCCGAACACAAATAGCTCTCAGTATATTCCCCGTGTATCCCCGTGTTGGTCGATTTCATCCCCTAAGGTGGAGAAGGCTGCTGGGCGTCGCTACACGTCAGACTACATCGCCATACGTTGGGGGCCCCTGAGGTGATGTGGTCACTGGATGATCCATATTGGCGGATGATCATCAATCCATCAAAATTCACCGGGATATGATACAACCATTGTAAGAATTCCCATTGTTGGAAATTCCCCATTTCATTGTTAACACCCATTTTCGGAGCCACTGAGTTTCCAGCCGCGATCGCCGCGCCGAGGCTACGATTGCAAGGCAAACCGAGGCTTTTCCATCGCCACATCTGTGGGAACAGAGGCCGCCTGCGGCAGTTTTTGGGAGGTCAGGGAGTGAGAATCAGGATCCTTGGATGTCCAAAGAACATCCAAACTCAAAATAAGCAAAATATATCCAAAAGATGTAAATCACATTAATGATATTAATGTCCATAAACATCCGAGGAATGTTCATCATTGTCATTGTTCATCAATATCCAATCAATATCCCAACATATCCCAACAATATCTAAACAAGATCCAGACAATCTCCAACTCAGCATGTCCCAAATAATATATCTGACAAGAAACAGAATCCTTCAATTTGCACCATGAGCTGGAAACCAGACTTCAGCAGAGTCATTTGGTGTTCGATATTGAGTACCACACCGCTGCGGGGATTGCTAAGTTGATGCCTTTCTCCGAGCTGAGTAACATCTCTGTTGGTCTTGCTGATGTGGTGTGTGGCCCACAAATCCACTGCAAAAAGAAGAGGAGAACAAGAACAAAACCAAACAACCGAAAATGGGGGATCGCCCCAAAATGGCATTATCTTAACTTAATGGGGAAAAATGAAGATGATTAAACTATATTAAACTAATGGAACTGGGGGTACCCGTATTTTCACACAAACCCCCCAAAACCAGAGGTAGTAATGTTTGCACTCCAGTCAAGTGCTCCATGCCGCCCACTTTGGCAGCTTTAGCAGCTAGTCTGTGGTTGCTAAACTGTCACAAAACCCACATCTTTTGAGGCAGTAGCGAAAGCGGCTGGCGTGCGAAAGATGCAAGACCTTTGTCTTACTTCGCTCATGGTTGCTCCCGACATTGGTTCCAACGACACCATGGCAGCTCAGCTGCAGGAGAGGCTTCTGCGATCACTTTCCAAGTCGAGTTTGATTCAGGCCCTTCTGCACAAACATCTATGGATGTATACACGGTGCAGATATTGTCGTATGTTAAAAAAACAAGCGAGAAACTTGAAGGATGTGACATGTGGAACATGTGCGGAACATATATTTGTTGTTTTTGACTCTCCTGAACTTTTCCGCGCGTCGTGCGCAAGCCATTGATTTTTGCTCGCTAAGATCCACATCGTGTCTCACTTTGACCCCCAGGCAAGCCGGGATTGACGGTAGACGTTGGCGGCACTAAACAAGTCTACAGTGATATGATGTGGGTTTGTCTCGAAATGGACCATGGCCCCCAATTTCGGACCATTTTCATGCAGAACATGACGAGATTCCATTACTCTTATTTTTAGTTTTTTGGGTTCCAAATTCTTGAGACGTATGGATATGGGGATGGATCAAGACGCACGATTTTCCGTGTGAATGCGAGGATGAACATCAACAACAACCAGCTGTTTTGGTGAATGGTGCCGGGGTTTTGACCCATGCTGATATGCAGCATGTAACATATATTACAACTGCATTCTTGTGTCGAGGCTATGTCTACCTTGATTGAACGGGCAGCAGATTTGTTATTCCTCTGGATTCTTGCGCATGGCCAAGGTTCGAACTACCGTGCTGCAGAAAGCAGGTGCTCATGTTTGGCTTCACCGACATTGCAAGGGCAGAGGGAGAGCTTTTGTCCATGGGCGCACGAAGCGCCACTTTCCTTCTTGGTAGTGTTTCCAAGAACATGTTCCTCAAACTGGAAGTAGTCCATATTATCAAGGTCTGCTTCATGGGGAAAACAACCTAATGTGGATATTCCGGTATTCCCCTTTTTTTGGACAGCCAGATCTTGGATATGATATACCACCAGGAGGATTCTTTGGCATACTCCCACCATATATAACAGTACCTGCATCTATCCATCCATCCATCCATCCATCCATCCATCCAGGCATCTAGACATATGTATAATATATATATCTCATATTATATATATTCACATGCATTTGCATTTGCGTTGCGTTGCGTAGCGTAACATGTTAACACAGCCACACCCGTTCTAAGTAGTCAGTGAATATCATCCGAATATCATCCATGTAATACTGTAATCCATGTAATCCATACATCCATTTCTTGGACCCGAATCCTCTCAGTCCACTATGCGGTGGGGAGATCCACTCGACAGTTTCTGCAGTCGCTCCACAAGAAGGCGGTCCCGCCAACGTTCCCGCCGGTAGGAGGGGATCTGAGGACTTGATCATGAACATTCCATGGAAAATCTGGGACTTTGACATATTTTTACCATGACCATGGGCCATTTATATCCATTTATCATGTATGAAATTAGCAATCATTAATATGGGATCCGTGAATTCTGGGGAAACCCCGGACGAATGTGAGATTGTTTTTGATTGTTCGTTTTCCGCATTTTTCGGGTTGGGTTGCAAGCACAAAGCAGATTTGAATTTGTTTGGTCCTCGTAGAACATAGGCTAGGATCTTGTCCTCAAGGAATAAGGGATCTTGTCTCGTCCGCAACAAGCAGATTCAGCCCGGATGGAAGATGGAGTAGGATTTTGAGGTCAAGGAAAGGAATGATTGATGCATGACTTATGATCCGCACCACATCCACATCATCCAGAATTGAGTTCTTCAGGAGCAGCGAATTGACTCCCCTGTGCTGGCCGTCATGGCTGTCACATTTCAGTTCTTGCTCGCTTCCACAGTTTCTCAATCTTGCTCAAAGAGAACAGCCATGACACGGGGAGGTAGCTGACATACAGTAGCTGGTCCAATCTAACTTGGGACATGGCTGAAACAAACATCTTGGAGAAAGTCAGAGGGGTCATTTGCCACAAAGATTCAAAGATTGAACGCAGTTTACGCACATTGGAGCAGAACTCTTCTGAACAGCCATTAATCTTCCGAGAGTGGGACACTGCGTAGGTTGGGGCCTCCACAACCTCCTTTTCTGTTCCATTGATGTTTCATTCACATTCCATTAATATTCCACTTCTTTTTCAAAAAAGATTGGAATTGCTGGTATTTTCCACCTAAAACCTCTCGCTGTGAACTTCTCAGCGCGGCAGTCTGGCTTCTCAAGTTGGGTGTGATGACTTCCATGAGGGAGTGGCAGTTTGAAACGCATGGGAGTTGCATGTAAGCAAGTGAAAACAGTGCTGGTAGTCCCACTGGTAGTTGGACATAATCAAACCGGAAACAAAAAATGGACATCCATTGGTAGATAGGGATTGTAATCACGAGGTAATGACTAGTGATTCTGCAGATTTTTCGTGGGAGAATCATATGTACCATGGTGAAAACATGGTGGGTTTTCCCACCATTCATGGGGATTTCTATCCCCATTATGTTTGGCATGGATGAACAAAACCATACAACGTTAGGAAAACAATGTCATAAACAACCATAATATGGATTGATGGTTTATACATGTTTATACCATTCATATATATATAATAAATGGTGATTTTGGGGATGGTGGATCCTATAGCTTACGAACATTACCATGGTAACTTGACCATGGCACTACCAAGGCCTGGCCCCAGTTTTGCTCGCGCTGAGCGACTGCTCGCGCTGCACTGGCGCTGGGTTTGCGCGGAGGATGCGGGACATGTTGGGAGATGACGGGAAAATCTGCAGGAGCCCTCCAAGCCCTCCCTATATTTGTGGCGAACCAGAAACCATGGGTTTCCTGTCGATTTTTTCCCAATCCATTGATAACAGCCAGATTTCAGATGCCACCGGAGACTATGAAGTCGACTATCATGGTTGGATCATGTTTGCTCCAGAAGAGGCTTCTTGCTTGTTCTTGACTGGAGGGTTAGCAATGGGGTAGCCATGGCACGGGATTCCTGGGGACAAGTGATGCCCGCAGGAATTTTGCTTCTTCGGCGACATGTCGAGGAGGGGTTGTTAGATGCTGTGTGCAACACCGGCTACTGGAATCTACTGGATACCAATGGTGCTACAGTCACGACCCAGCCCAACCTTCCCAGATTCTTGCAGACAAATCAGACTCCGCAGTGAAGCAAAATTAATTGAAGTATGTTCGTGAGAATTCCAAAGAAAAAGAAGTTACTAACCTAAGCCACAAACCTTTGGTAAATCAAACATGGCAATGCAACAAAAAGACCATCAGAATCCATCAAACTAGACCATCAAAAGAGATGATCATCCGTGATTTCATGGATAATTTTATGTAGAAACATGGTGGATTTCATGGTGATTTCCACATGAATCCCATAGAAATTTATGGATAATCCTATGAATCCCATCCCCCGCCCGGTGTCGAAAATCCTATGCGATTTTCATGGGATTATATAATGGGGCCAAGACTCCCACAGTCGTCCCATTGATCAAGTCCCATTGATCAACCATTTGAAAATGGTCTTTCGAAATCATAGATATATAAAATATGATAAAATGGACTATGGATTACCCTCTGGTAAACGTTTACATAACTATGGAAAATCACCATTATTAATGGGTAAATCCACTAATGATCATTTTCAATAGCTATTTTGACATAACCAGAGGGTAATGGGTTTACATCCATGACCATCCCATTCGAACAAAAAAACCACGCCGTCTCCCCAGCCTTGGAAAGGTTCGAGGCGGCTGCCAAAAAGGCAGCAACGACTGCTGGGGTGGTACCTCGGCCGTGTCGAAGCGGATGTTGCTATAGATTCGCTGAATAATTATGGATTATGATATGGATTATATATAGATTATAGATTATATATATAGTTACTATTGTTATCATGGTATTATCATTATGATTACCATTATTATTTTTTTTTAAATTGTGATTATCATCATTACTATTATTATATATACTATTGTACACTTTTTTCACTCTGGGATACGGATGATACGATGCTTTCGATGAGGGATGATCCAACCAGATATGCCATGGCTAAGACAACAGCGGCGCCCAAGCCCAAAGCAGCGGCTTCAAAAGCGGCGGCTGCACTGAAACCCGCACGGAGCTCAGTTGGGATCCGAAAGCTGTGCAAATCTTGTCCCAAAATCGCCACAGAAATTGGATGATTTTTTCATTGGTCCATTTCATTCGAGGTCAATGAACAAAACACATGTTTTTGGGATATTTTTGAGATATGCCTGCAGACATCTTTTCTCAGGGTGGCCTGCATGCAAAGCCAAAGGCTGCGGCAGCGAAGTTGGACACCCTGGAGGCGGCCCTGACTCTGAATGGAAGGGCCCTATTTCATGGAAAAAAAAACCTATTAAAATATGGATGATAACTGGGGGTACCCCCATCATTTTAGGAAAGCTCTATAGGTTTATAGATAGAGAGTTCAAGTTCTGTTAACGCAATATGATACACAGGTATTTTTTTGATATGTTTTGTATGTTTTCCATCTACTTGGCTGCTGACTTTGGTCTTGGCCCATTCGAAGTGGCACTTCTCCTTTTTTTGCCATCGGCAGTGGAGGACAAAAGGAAGTTCGTGAAGATGTGGGAAATGAAAATTGATGATAAGGATTGCGAGGTTCGATCTCCGGAGGATTGGGCGGATTGGGCCAAATCTGATACCATCGTGGCGTGGATGGATGGGATATGTTTTGGCAAGAAACTTAGAGACTTAGAGGATCATCCCACTTACCCTCTGGTAAACTAACATAGCTATTGAAAATGGCCCATTCATAGTCAGTTTTCCCATTAAAAATAGTGATTTTCCATAGTTATGTTAGTTTACCAGAGGGTAAGTCTTTTTTTCCCTTGGTGAAGAAGTCTTCCATTCAGTAGGTTGTCCACTTATCCATTTTTTTTGAGTGGCTAAACTACCTATTTTCCCCCACGTTTTTTTTCGCACCACATCCACAAGTCCAGCTATCCTCTCGCTGGCAAATCGAAGATATCGAAGTTGAGGTCCAAGCTGAAGCCAACAAGAAGGCAAAGAAGGAGCGCTGGAAGCCCCCATTTGCTTCGATGTTTGTCCAAACTCCAAACTCAAGGTGATAAAAACCACGAACTCTTAAAATCACCAGAGGGTGTTTAAAGACTTTGAATACCAGCCAATTTTCAAAAATCACTTTCGGTAGAATACATATAGAATACATATAGAATACATATAGAATACATAGTTTCAACCATTTTCAATCATTTTCATTTCAAGTCAGAACTTGGCGTCAGGTCTTTCATCCCTCAGTTCCATTATGTTCCATTTAAGGCTGTTCCATTCAGTAGGACCTCGAGACGGCCTTGAAGAAACTCCAAACTGACGAGACCTATGTCAAAGTCAAAGAGGACTGGGACTGGGACGAGATCTGCTAGGGGATTTGAAATGGTCATTGGGATGATGATGGGATTTTGAGGGCTGGTTATTACACTGTAACAATCTGTAATATATATATATATTATATCTATATTATATATAAGTATTACTATGACTATCATGAATATTACATACTATTCCTGTTACTGTGACATTACTGTATATATATATTACATTATATTACGATAGTCATAGAGATCTCAGGGGAGCTGCCGATCATTTTCCGACCTGGGAAGGAGTGACACAGAATCGTAACCTTAGGAGCGGTTTCAGGTCTTTCTTCCCGAGAACTATCACCTGGAAAAGATGAAGATCTCCAGATATCTCCAGTATCTCTAGAACATCTGGGCATTTCTCGTCACTGGAGTCTCCACTGACCCTCTGGTAAACTAACGTAACTATGGAAAATCACCATTTTTTATGGGTAAATCCACTATAAATGGTCATTTTCAATAGCTATGTTAGTTTACCAGAGGGTATGATCTTTCCATGACCTTGGAGCCCCAAGGGGGATCGAATATCGGTGAATCTTCCCGTGGGAGGAGATCAAAGACATGGAGCTTCAAGGGAAACGTCGGCAGCCCCAGGGAGTCGTCGTCGCCTTCGCAATTTTCATGGAACATGGCACTTAGACTATGGGAAACCATGGTTGGTTGGTGTTGGTTGTTGGGGTTATACCAACTGGTTTTTTACAAATACATACAAATACTATGATTAGCTATCGAATCGGGGTTCTGACATGTTCCAACATGTTCCAAAGCCACAATATATCGAAGACGATTGTTCTTGCTGATGTCCGTTCTGTGGACGATGTGGCTGCACAACGGTCGGATGGACGATATGGCAGAACTGGTGCAAGGTTTGCCTAAGTAACTACTTCTGTTTGAACCAGACCATTTCTTTTGCGATGATTTGGAAATGATTGGGCGACCTTTGGTTTGGGTGAAACGCTTTTGTTGGTGAAACCCCATGAAAACGGCAGGATATTTTCCTATTAAATCCACATTGAACTCGTAGAGTGATTGATACTTTCCAATGATATACAGTAAATCCATATTATTGAATTGTGAAGCATTGAATATCATATGGATACATATATATATAATTATATCCATACACATATCATATATATATATATGTATATATATATGTGGATATATCTGATCCACTCCATATAATTTTTGTTGTCATCCAAACATTGTAATCCACTCCATATAATTTTTGTTGTCATCCAAACATTGTAACATTGGCACTTCTTCCGATCCATTTTCGTTACGGGTTATGGCACCATCGCCAGGGGATGCGGAGCGTGCAGCGCTGGAGCAGAATCACGCCAAGACGGATGCGAAGGCCTGGGAGGTAAATTTCTTGTTCGTTTTTTTTTGGTCTAGGTTGTTTTTTGACGTGGTCGACCAGCAAATGGCCATAGGTTGAAACTTTTTCTATACCCTATTTTTTGGGGAATGAAGATCCATTTACCAACTATTTTCATGTTCACCAACATATCATTAAGGCTTTAAACCCGTAGCCAAATAATAAGCGACTTCCAGTTTTACATCGGTCGTATCAACGATCGCAGAATGAAGGTTTTATGATCGGGTTTACCACATTCGAACCAGCATAAACTAACAAAATTCGGGATGTGATAATTGATGCAACTATAAAGCCAACAATGGGGAGAAAACACACCAATTCACAATGAATATCACGAATATCACAATCATATCACCATCATGTTTCAGCAGAATCGACAATGGAAGTCCCATCAAAAGGATATCCATCTTGGGGGATTTTAAGCCTTCACGGCAACAAAGTGGGCAGATTTTGCACGGGGTCGAACGCTGGAGAACAGGCTGCTGCACCAAAAGCGGCGAAGAGTGCCGTCATAGCCCCAGGGTCGGAAGATTTCCCTGGAGTTGCTATGGTGGTGAAATTGTCAGACCGTTAAAGGATTGGTTGAATTTCGAGCATACCATGTTTAGAAATTAAATTGCACAAGTTCAGAGGTGTTTTTCAGATGGAGGCACCAAAATTCCTTCGCATTGGGCTTTTCCAGCTTGGGTAAGCAGGGTTATTGCGAGTTTTCTTCGGACAGACATTTATTTGATCAATGCATGTCATATTTCTGAAATCCCTGGGCATGTCCCTCCTTTTCATTCCTTTTCTTATCTTTTCTTTATATTCTTCCTATTTTTGCTGTTTCTTTCGCCATGTATCCCACGGAATGGCCGAAAAAATTGCTGCTTCGCTTCTATTCCCATCGACATCCCCATAGATTCCTAAAAGATCCTATCAACGTCTTGCCCCAAAGAAGACAATGACACGGTTTCTCCAATTTCTGGCTGTATTTGTACGGGTCGCGATGTCGCCTTACTATGTCTAGTTATAGCCTCAAAAAGCTGCTGCTTAAATCCACGTTGCTAGATGTTGCTGCAGAACTCCCAGATCTTTTGGGTGGTTACTGGAATAATCGATGTAAATCCGATTTTTATTGTGGGTGTTCATCCTATTTTTAATGTTTCAATCCCCTCGTTTTTGTTGGTGGTGAGATTCCCAAGGCACCAGTGGCTCTGGAAGCCTCTGAAGCGGTCCTAGAAGACCTGACAAGCCAGCTGCAGAGCACTGGGAAGGACGCAGCCTCCGGAGATTTTCCCTGGGAAAATCTGGGAAATCCCCGGTTTTTCGTGGAGGTTTTCACGGGAACATCATCTACAAATGAGGGATTTTCCAGCCATGTTCGATGAAGCTAACCATGCAGAATCTCACGATCAAAAACTGGGAATTGGAACACCAGAATCATGGGGATGTCAACAACCGAAATGATGGAGATTTAAGAATGAAACATGTGGATGTTAAGCTTATATATATAATATTATACAATACAGTATATATAATTATTATATAACTACAAGTAAGATGACATAGTTTTTTTTGGTGACCTCTTCAGACCGCCAAACATTGGTATGTTTCTGGGACGATGACCCAGCGAAAGATGTGCTGTAATCAGGATGTGAAGCTTCGAGAATGGGATATTGAGCCAAAACTGCGGGAGATGAATATGATCATGGAATCAATATGGAATCAATATGGAATCAATATGGAATCAATATGGATTAATATGGAATAAATCATGCCAATTACTCGATCACTTCGAACCACTCACAATGGAATATGGAATATGGAATATGGAATATGGAATATGCTGGGACATCATGGGACATCCATCGTTGTGCCCCGGACAAATGAGTGGGTTTTGAACTGGGTGCACGCAAATCACCCGGACAATAGTTGCATTGCCTAGGTATTGGTCAACAAGCCGTCTACTAAGCAAACAATTGCTTGAGGAATTCGATGGAAAACGCACAGGCTCAAGGGTCTTGCTTGAAGTCGAAGTACAACAAACAGATTGACGACTGCCTTGTCTTCTTCACCTGGAAATGCACATGGCCAGAGAAACTTGCCCGTCTGTTCTTTGGGGTGACGAAAGTCTTGTCTGAATATCCTCCGAACATATTTTGCTCAACAAAATCCTAAAATTGCCGGGGCAATGCTTTTCAAGGCCCTTCCAACAATTTGAATGCACCAAAAAGGATCTCCCAAATTTGCTTGGGCACTTGGGTCTTGCATTTGGAAGTTGAAGGACCTTCCCTGGGCCATGGCACCTGATGCCCGCCATGAAAACTGAGCCATGCCCGTACAAAGTCCTACATCTCCTGCCCTCTGCCTCTGACAATGAAATCCGCAGTGCCTACCGAAAACGTGCACTGCAAACGCATCCGGACAAAGGAGGATCGGCTGAAACTTGGATGTGATGATGTGGTGGTCTCACCAGTGGATGCCAGTGGTATTTTGGATGGTTTTTGGGGAGGCTTTATCATGGTTTATCCATGTTTATCCACAGTCTAGAGGGTAACATCTCGAGAGGGAACTACTATGAACTACTTGTAGCTTATCGAATTTCCATTCGATTGCTGTCCAAACTCATGGCTGATTGATGGTTTTAAGTTTTTTTAATGTTCATGCAGAAGTGGAATGATGAACCCCCACTGGCAAATGTTTGTAAATGTGTTGAAACCACCAACAACGGGTACGGTATTGCTGGTTGATATGAGCACTTGCTGTTGGCTATATCGCTATTGAGACCCCTAAAGAAACACAACTTTTGATGATGTGAGCATGAGCATGTTTGCATCTGAAAACGGGGTTATTTCCATCCCAAAATGGCAGTTTTTATAGGGTCTAAGCTCTGAACATTTCCAAGCCATCATTTTTTTTTTCAAAATGGTGATTTTCCCATAACAAAATTGTGATTTTCCAACCATTTTCCCATTGAATTTCCAGCTGATGTTGTTTCCTGGTTAGGGGCGGACCAGTTCGTGCCGCCCAGGAAGCGTTTCGCGCCGTGGTGGCAGCCTTTGAAGTTCTGATTGACCCAGGGCGTCGTATTGGCTTTGACGTCGATATGAAGAAACAGCAGGAGACCTGGAATCAGGGTGTTTGTAAGGGAAATCGTCCCCAAATGGCCTGGTTAATAAGGGAAATCATCCCCAAATGGGAAATATATGGAAAGATATGTCGGTTACTCATATATCTGGTTAATTAATTCAGGTTAGTGAAATATCATTTACCCAGGTATATGAGTAACCGAGAAAATGAGCAGAAGACTAAAGTAGTGGGGAGTGGACATGGGATGTTCAAATTTGTGCGAAAACATTCACCGATAGGGACCACCCACTTTGGCCATGTCCATTGCGGGTATAATAGTAAGTAATTTTGTCCGCCACTCATATAAATACAAATATACACACATATAACTATCCCAAAAATAGCTGCAAGTTTCGGTGAATTAATATCATTTGGCTAGATCTTTGGTTTTGTTGAAGGGAAACATTGCAGAAAACCTTGGTGATTTTTCCAGATGGGTTTGACATGGTTTGACTGAAAATGGAGTATGTCCCCGACTAACCATGCATTTTATTGGGAATTTTCTGATAAACCCACTGGATCTAGGGGTACCCAATTTTCAGACAAACCCAGATGGTAAATGGATACCGATGGATACTAGCTGGTACATGGATAATGGATGGTAAAACAATGTAGAATAGGTCAGTAGCTGGTCAAATAGCTGGTAGTTATGGATATTCATGTCTCCAGCTGTTATAGCTATTTTGCAGGGTATTGACAGATGCAGGAGGAGAAGATGGAGAAGCAGTTCCCCAAATGTCCGAAATGGGAGGAGCCAAGAGAGCCAAGAGAGCCAAGAGATTCCAGGCGAAAGGGGAGCCGGGGGAGCCAGTCCAAAGATCCGAAAGGTCCTCAGCAGGAGCCGAAGCGGAGAGACTCCAAGAGGAGAAACGAGTCGAAAGATCCAGGTGCCACAAAGAGGCGAAAGGAGTCGAAGCCAAAGGAGTCGAAAAGTGAAGCGAAAGACGCGAACGACGCGAACGACGCGAAAGACGCGAAAGACGCGAAAGAAAACCCAACTGAAAGGCCGCAAAGCAGTGCTTACGATTACGATGAACTGTTTTACAAGCTCATGTGCACTAACAGAAAGAAAGCAGAGGAAATTCTGAATGATCTATCTGAAGAGGTGCTTCGAGGATTGGCCATTTTTCTGGCGTCTGATGATCTCAAACTGAAACCCAAGGTTGTAAGATTGGCACTCCCAGGTCCCGAGCATGGCAAAAAGAGGAAGAAAAGGACAAAGGTTGCAGACAATGCAGCCCAGGTACCTGTGCCAGGTGCAAAGACACCTGCATTTGGTGCAGTTCGAGGAGTTTGCCGACAATATCGATCCCATGCAAACCCAGATGACAACTATGTGGACTACCGGGCCAGCGTGGGCTTTAACAACATCCTTGTTCGTTCCCAGACTGTGCGAACATTGGATGCTGCAGTTGACATTCATATTAGTATGGTGCGGCTGCGGCAATGCTTTCGTTCCCACTTGAAAGCTGGGAAGAGTGACTTATCTCCAAGCTACAAGCCATCTTTTTTTGATTAAACTTAGACTTACAGCATTTACAACTTCTTTTGCTGGGATTGGGCCACACATTTCATCACATGTCCTTTGTTTATCCATTCAATGCCTTATTTGAAGTCGTCCCGTTTTTGGCTCACCTTGAGAGCTCTCACAGCCAAGGTTTCGGTGAGTCGCTCCATGAAGCTGTGAATGCTTTCGCGGCGGAGCGAGAAGTCTTGAATGCCGAAGCCGTCAGATTGGTCTTCCGTTGCCGATGGGGACGGAGAAATGTCTCCAGGACCTACCACACACATGAGCCCTTGCTGCAGAAATTGCCAGAGGATTTTGAAAAATCACATCTAGGTCAAACATCAGCATTTGTCAGCCAGAATGCGCCACTTGAGCCATGCTCAGTTGACCTCCTGTTGTTGGATGATGTTAGACTTTCCCATACCACTCTACAGATATTTTCAGCAAATTATTATCATGGGCCCCCCACGCTTGGCAGTTCAGTCCGAGAAATTTCCAATTTTTATCCAGGCAGGCGAATCCACTACTCATCCAGACTTTTCGCCAACTTTAGTCGGCAAACAAACACCTACAATGTCTACAACTAATATATTATACTAAGATTATAACTATAACTAATATTATAACATATTATAACTATAACCAGCAAAATTCTGAATTCATTGACATTCATGGACCATTGGACCATTCTTCAGCCATAGAAACGCCACACGTCGCACCAAGGAATTGGATGCCTTCATCAGTGCCTGGGAGGAGACTGCGAAGCGTCAGCCCCTGCCGCGGGCGCCCGCCAAGGCGCCGAAGCCGCTGCGGAGGGGTCCGAAGGAACGAGCCCCGCAAGGCGGGGTGCGAAGGGGCGGCCGTGAACGAGCACAAAGCCTGCAGGCCAAGTTTCAGGCGGGATTTCAGGCGATGAAAAATGAGTGAAAATGGAAACCTCAGAAGTTGAGATGTGAACTATGAGAGGTTTGTTGATGGTTCAGAACTTGGACGTGTTGAAGGGTGCATGAACATCAGATATTCATTATACATATATATATATTGCGGAACTGTAAGTAAAGGCAGCTGCATCCACCGTTTCAATTTTGAAAGCTGATGTGAAGTACTGCAGAAGGGTAGCAGTATACCACATGTGACATCCAAAGGATGGGTTGTTGAAAGCCACACCCGAAACCAGAGGGGTTGTGGTTCAAAGAGCCGACTGCCACAAACGTGTGGCTCAAGATGCACAAGCTGGAAAAGTTGCTGCCCCGGCTTGTTCTCTGCGTCTCGGCAGCACCGCGGGTTATGAGCCCAAGGCGGCCGTAACTTGCCATGATGGATCGTCGAAGAGAAAGCAGCATCCGTCGAAGGGAAGCTGAAGCAGGACCCGTTGAAGAGACCGCCGAGCAACAGCTGGAGCGCATGCAACAAGACTCCAGCAGGAAGTTGTGGATCGACCGGCTTCAGGGGGCTTCGCTGCTGCAGAATTTCTGAGTGTGGGTGTTGAAAGTGCAGTTGAAGAGGAACGTGGGGGAGAACCTCCTCGAACATCCTCGAACCGTAGACACAACTGCTGATGACCTTCGAGGTTCTGGTGAGACGGTTGGCGTTCGAAGGGTGACTGCTCCTGATAGCACTGCGGGATCTTCTGGACACGGTGGTGAAGGGTCGCAAAACCGAGTTGCAGGACCTCCCAGGTCTTTTGCGCCAGCAGTTCTGTCCACTGCAGCAGGTGTTCCTCCGACAGTTTCTGGGGAAAACTTAGTAGCTGAGGTGGTTAGGGAACCTGTTGGGTGGGAGGTTGGTCCACGGTTGTTCCCACAACAAAGTGCGAGTGATCAGGGAAGGGTTGCTCAAATGGTTGGTCATGATGGTCGGGATGTCCCAAACCAAAGTGCAAGTACCATGTTAGATTATCCTCCGGGGTTTGAACAGCAAGCTTCTTCAAGGGATCTTATGGTTTTGGGTAATGCTCAACAAACAGTTCAATGGGGTGACCGAACGGTTCCTGTCGCTGTCAACCCGTTCTGGAGTCCGGAAAGGAAGGCTTATGAACGTATGGAGGTTGAATGGCAGAGGCATTTAATGGTCCAGGATGGTAGAATGGGTTGTGGCCAAGTTCAAATGGTTGAGCGGCCAAGCCACTTGGAGTTGCAGCATCCTCAGCAAGGGTTTCAGGGGAATCGGCCACAGGGGTCTAACCCCGAAACGCCACAAAAGGGTGTGGAAATGGATCCGATTGAACTTTTCCGTTTGCGGTGTCTCAGAGAGGCCGAAGAAAAGTTCAGGGTTGGTGTTGAACAAATGACGCAACAACAAACCAAGGGTAAGGGTGATAGGGATGGATCAAAAATGGTTGGTACGGGTCAGGATGTGTCCTCTCAAGCCTCTTATGCCTCTGCGGTATCACATGGAGTGGCTAGCCTAGGGTTCACACCACCTCCGCCTCCAGGTCCGCCACCTGCTTCGCCAGCTAGGGATGGTAGTTGTAGCTTCATGGTTGATGGTGGGAGTCAACCTCCACCTCCGCCACCACCGCACTACCCACCGGTTCCACCAATGCCTGGTTTTGATGGTAGTTCCAAGGGGTCAGGGTTCTTAGGAGAAAACCCAACTGAGAATCTTCGTACTAGTGAGCTTCCACGGTTGGTTTCTGATTCCACGCCTTTACAATTTGGTGATTGGTGGAACATGATCGATAGCCATATGGGTGACCTGTCGTATTCCTCAAATGTGTGGTGGAGTATGGTTAAGGGTTCTGTTGAACGATGCTACAAAGAATGGCTAACTTGTGAACCAGTGGCTCGGCTTCGGTTGCGTCCTCAGCTGGATCCAACGGCTCAGCACTGGCCACGAACTGAGCGACGTGCCTTGGCAATGTTACTGCAAGCTATTCCGGAAACTATTCGGGATGACGTGGTGGCCTCCAGGAAACTCACGGTTGACCAGGTCTTGTTCAAATTGTTGATCACCTTCCAGCCTGGAGGAGCTGGCGAAAAAACTCGGTTGCTTCAAGCCATCACGGGTGGGGATTGTGGTAACACGGTTCATGCTGTAGTTGATTGGGTCAGGAACTGGCGTAGGAACGTCACCAGAGCCAGCGAGTTGGGTTTGACACTCCCGGATTCCTTGGTTTTGGTGTGTGCCTTACAGGGTGCTACGGAATGGCTCAGTCAAAGATCCCCCCAATTGGCCTATCGGTTGAATTTGGTGAGACAACAATTGTCCTTGGATCAACAACCTACTTTTGGGGATGTTTGGACGTTTGTTGATCATCTTCAAGCTGAAGCCGAGGACCTCCTGAATGCTACAGGTACTGTTGCCATGAATCCCGCAAATTCCCAACAAAACTCCAAGGGGACCACCAATAAAGTGGGTATCAAGGCTTTGCAACAGGGTGCTCATGAAGGGTATGGTAACCCCAAGGGTAACAATGATGGTTCAACAGACAGGAAGGGTTCAGTTCCAAAGGGTGTTCAAGCTGTGAATGCCGATTCGGTCAAGTCCACCAATCCTTGCAGGTTTTGGGGCACTGATGGGGGTTGTCGTAGAGCTGACAAGTGTAAGTTTGTTCACACTGTGCTGACCAGTAAAGAGAACCGATGTTTTGGTTGTTCGGGTACGGGTCACGCAAAAAAGGATTGCCCTCACATGCAACCAAAGGAATCCAAAAAGGTAGCCAAGTCGAAGGTTAAGGGAAGTCCTGACAAGCCTTCTGAAGCTGCTTCTGTTGGGGGGAGTGAAACGGTTGAAGGAAGTGTGAAGGTAGGTGAGAGTAGCTCTTCCTCGGCTCCGGCCGACGACCAAAAGAAAGGCTCCTCAACCCCCCCGGGGGACAGTACTGGAGGAAGTCAGTTGGATGCCTTGTTGAGTGAAGCTGCGCTGCTGATGAAGTCACCGAGACCTAGTTTGAAAATGGTTTCTCTCAAGAAAATGGAACATGGTGAACTGGCGACCGGGCTCCTGGATGGAGGTGCAACAAACGCTCTCAGGGTTGGGTCACCACAGGAACTTCGAAATGCCATTCCTGTCCAGGTGGAGTTGGCCGCTGGTTCCATTGAGCTTTACCAGGACGTGCAAACGGGCACGTTGTTGTCCCACCAACATGTGGAGCCGATTGTCCCTGTCCGGTGATTCTGCATCCGCAGCGAGGACGGATCCGCAGCTGGTTGCGGAATGGGTGCCCAGTTGTCACTGAGGAATGTGCATTGCAACTCATAGCCGACATAGAAAACCAAGAACGGTTGTATCGCATGGGTCCGAAACTGGCTGCAGGGAAGGTCTCAACGCCTGTTCAGGAATGGTGGTCTCAAAGGTTTCCAGATGTTCCCCAAAGAATTTGGGATCACATGGTCGGTCAGGATCTGGGGATGCCAAAGGGCGAGGATTTACCATGGAACCGTAGGAGCCGTAGGAGATTTGACCAAGCTAAAGGGTTGGTTATCCACATGTTTTCAGGAGACACCCAATCATCCAAAAAATGGACTCAAGGTTGGCCCCCTGGCGTTGAAGTGATCACTGTGGATACCAGCACCAATCCCCTCCAAGATGTTCACCAGGCTGCGGTTTGGGGGTATCTCTGTCACCTTGCTGCAACAAAACCCATTATAGCAGTGATCGGCGGTCCGCCCTGCCGAAGTGTCTCTCGGTTGCGAAATGTTCGCCCTGGTCCTGTTCCTCTTCGAGGTCGATATGAGGACCGGTTTGGGTTGCCTGGCCTGTCAGCTGCAGATCAGCTCAAGGCTGACAGGGATGCTGCTTTGGTTCTCAAGCAACAGGGTCTCTTGTGGATTGCTGAGGAACACCGTGCCTTGGATTCGCCACCGGTGGGGTACTTAATGGAATCCCCCGAAGATCCTAAGGTTGTGTTTGGAGAAGAGGATGCCCCATCATTCTGGAGTTGGCCCGAGGTGATCAGTTTCGCCGAACGATTCGGTTTGGGTACTGTGTCTTTTGATCAAGGGATGTATGGTCATCAACAACGGAAACCCACGACTTGTTTAACCAATCTTCCACTCATGGGTCATTTGCATGGTGCTAGGTGTTCCACGAATATTGGTGAAGGGTTGCATGAAAACCTCCAACAACGCTTCACTCAAACGGCTAGCTGGTCTTCATGGGCTCCCGGGTTGAAAAAGGCTATTCACACCTCCCTGTTGCTGTTGTGTCACATGCATGGTTTTGGGAACCAAGGTATCAAAAAGGTGTTGGATGTTCAAGGATGGAAACAGCACATTCACCAAGGTCATGTTCCTTACCGCCGAGATTGTAGGGCATGTATCATGGACATGGGGTCAGGAAAACCACACTGTCGGCAAACCGCTGGTGGAACGGCTTCATGGACTATGGCTGTAGATATGGTTCAAATGCCTAGTGGGGTGGATGAAACCACGGGGTACAAAGCCAAGTACATGTTGTTGGCTATGGTTGCGGTCCCCCAATTTGGTGATCAGGCTTCAGGTACTCAAGGTGCTGATGACAAGGGTCAAAAGGGTGAGGGTATCCCCACCGAGCCACCAAATTCGGAAAGTCCCGATGGTCCAGTTGATGACTGGGGGGAAGGTCTGGACGAAACTGTGTTTCCACTTGAGCCTCCAGGGGACATGGATGCGGACAAACCTGAGAAGCCTGAGAGTGATCCTGTTATTCCAAAGCCACCCTCCGGGGAACGGCCGGATCTTGGCGTCGAGTCTGACATGTCTCAACTTGTGGATGCATGTTCCGCTCCTCTGCAGGTACAACAGGTGACAATCATTCACCCCATGGAATCCCGTCATGCTAGTCAAGTCGTGCATGGTTTGAACACGGTTTTGACTCGGTTCAAATATATGGGTATTCATGTGGTTCGTGTACACAGTGACCGTGCCAAAGAATTCCTTTCGCATACTATCCAAAAATGGATAGCTGCTCAAGGT